TCCCTCCTCCCTCCTCCCTCCTCCCTCCTCCCTCCTCCTCCTCCTCCCTCCTCCCTCCTCCTCTCCTCCCTCCTCCCTCCTCCCTCCTCCCTCCTCCCTCCTCCCTCCTCCCTCCTCGCTCCTCTCCTCGCTCCTCGCTCCTCGCTCCTTCGCTCCTCGCTCCTCTCCTCGCTCCTCGCTCCTCGCTCCTTGCTCCTCGCTCCTCTCCTCGCTCCTCTCTCCTCTCTCCTCGCTCCTCGCTCCTCGCTCCTCTCAAACTTTCTTCAGCATGCAGCTTCTCTCCTACGACAGCTGTCGGGGCCATACCGGAACTCCCTCCCCCGATCTGCACGAGAAGCCGCAGCAAGGAGCGGAGGAGCAGCAGAGAAGGCTGGATCCGATCATCACAGACATTGACGAACAGCACATCGTCTTCGACGGCAGCGCGTTCGCACTGGATGGCGAGGGCAGGCAGGAAGAGCAGATGGACACAGGAGGTCACAGACACCTTGACCATCTCCACAACTCTTCTCATCAGCAGTCGGAAGCGTTCGACAACAGCAAGAGGGGAGGAGAGAGATTTTCCCTGCTCGCAAACGGCCAGAGCTCGCAGTTTCCCACCGGGCAGGTCGGGATGGTGAGCGAGGGGCCGGAGCAGCAGGGATGGCTATCACCCATCTTCCTGCCAAGTGAGAACATCACGCTGCAGACAGACAGGATGGAAGAGTTTCAGTCCTTGAGAGGTGATTATGATTTCAAGCAAGACAGCGCTGAAGAGGACGGGGGAGATGTTGATGGTAGCGACGGCGACGGGGATGATGGAAGGAGGAAGCAGAGATCTGATCTCAGCCAGCACTTCAACGGGATCCTCATTGCATGTAAGGAGATGGAGACGATAAGGGACAATTTCAACAACTTGGAAAGACACCTCAGCGACTGTGTCAGGAATGCTCAGGTCTGTTGTGTTGGTCGTATCGACAAAATGTTACAAGTGTTTACATCTCCCTCGGATTTTCCTCCTTGACGATGACAACATCCCTTCTGCTAGAGTGTTGTTCTGTTCTGATTTTCTGTTTTCTGCACTCGCATGTTCATGTTGTCTTTCCTACAGTTCTCATTGGCGAAGTACCGCGAGCGTCGACTGGCAGACATGAGCACGTTAGAAACTATCCGAAACCTGCCAGGGCGACTGACGAGGTAGCAGGTGGGAGGAAGGAAAGCTTGCAGTGGACGTTGACGACTTGCTGGCTACTTTGATGCAAGCACGGGACGAGGTGAGGGAGAGGGCTGAAGTGAGACTTGTTCCTGGTTTGTGGACTGTCCGATGACGACAGTGATATGAAATTTGACTTGTTTTCTGTATTCTGCTCCTGCTAAGTTCTGCTTTTGCTGACTTCTCCTTCCTCCTCCTCTTTTTCCTCCTGCTCCTTTGACTACTTCCTACATCCTCATCCTCCTCTACCTCTCTATTTTCCCCGCTCCTTCCGCTCCTCCCGCTCCTCAATCTCCATGTCCTGCAGACGGTCATCGGCAGTGCAGTGTTTGACAGCACGACAAATAAAATTCGCGAAGAGGCTGAAACAGCAGCAAGACGAACAAGCGAAAGCGCTGGGGCAGTTGAGACAGGAAGCGTCAAGAGCTATAAAGATCGTATGAAAAAGATGCAGCAGGTGAGGTGCTGCCGCCGCTGCTGTGCATGTCATGTTTGTGTCATTTTCATTGATTGTTATTGCTTTATTTGTTGTGGTTGTTTGTGTCGATCATATTATTGTTGTGGTGGTGGTGGGTGTTGTGGGTGTTGTGGGTGTTTGTGGGTGTTGTTGTTGTTGTTGTTGTTTGTGTCGATCATGTTGTTGTTGTTGTTAATGATGATGGTGGAGGAGAGGGAAGGGAGGAGATAAACGGTGATGCTGACACGTGCATAGAAATATGAGCTGGAGATCAAGGGGATGAAGGCGAGATATCAGAAGTGCTTGCATCATGTTCTCATCTCATCTCACAGCAAGTTCAAGCTGAGGAAATGAAGAGAAACACCAAGATGATCGAAGACTTGACAATGTCTGCCCGACCGAGAGAGCCTGAGGAGACCACATGTGACCTCAAGTGGCAGGGCGATTGCGAACCTGCAGGAAGAGCTTGCGAGCAAGAAGGTGAGACAGCACGTTCGAGGAGGAGGAGGAGGAGAGACGAGGAGGAGGAGGAGGAGACGAGGACGAGGACGAGGACGTGCACGTGCACGAGGACGAGGAGGAAGTGGTGGTGGTAGTGGTGGTAGTGGTGGTAGTGGTGGTAGTGGTGGTGGTAGTGGCGGAGGAGGAGGAGGAGGAGGAGGAGGAGGAGGAGGAGGATTGATAGCAGGGAAGGTTGGGGTCAGAGTCAGAGTCAGGCCGAAAGCAATGGAGCAGCAGCAGCAGCAGCAGCAGCAGCACATGTTGGGTTTCGCGAGACTTCTGACGTGTCTTGGGCTCTCAGCTCAGCAGGGCAGGAGACTCTCCGGGGTCGTCGGAGAAGAAGACGACAAGAGCTCGGTGAGGGAGGGAGAGGTGAAGCAAGCTTGACGAGGCTTCAGGGCCCGATCGGAGCCGCCGCAGGTGAGGAAAGAGACCAAGGTATGCAGAGAGGAGGAAGAGGAGGAGGTGGTGGTGGAGGAGGGCGGAAGGGGGGGAGAAGCAGGAGGAGGGGGAGGAGGAGGAGGATCCACAGCTGCTTGCAGGAGGGAGAAAGCAGATGGTTGATAGGGTTGAGCAGCAGGAGAGACCACCGTGGAACATTGGGAACAAACCTCGTCCTACAATCTCTCCCAACACCAAGGTGCAGATTGCCTTGCTGCGCTACCATTTCCTTCTCCTCCTTCCATCCTCCATCAAACTTGCTCTGTCCTCGTCCTCCCTACTTCCTTTTCCATCCTCAGCTGCCCCCCCTCCCTCTCCCCCTCTTCTCCCAACTCCCCTCACAACGTTCCGAACAGAAGCAAGAAGCGTCGTCGACCAGCAGGCGAATCTCCCGACCAACGTGATCGAATGAATTCCTTGGACCTCTGCTCCTCCTGCCCTCCTTGTCTACCCACCGTCCCATTCCGAGGATCTGATTTACCTTCTTCTCTTCCTCCTCTTCTACTGCTGCTGCTTCTCCTCTTCTTTCTTCTCCTCCTCGTCCTCCTAACTCTCCTCCTCCTCCTATGACTGGCTCCTCCTGTTTCTGACCTTCTTCTCCTAGCGACTCCTCACCTCGCAGTCCTCCCGCCGTCTCCGATCGCCTCCAACGTCTCGCCACCCCCAAGACTCGGCTCGCAGCGGAGGAGCTGCCAAGGACAAGCAAGGAGAGGAGGGGAGGGAGGAGAGCAGCTGACGATATGGCAGGGTCAAGCGCAACCAGATCAACTCAACGGGAGAGCATGAACCTTTGACGAAAGGGAGCTGAAGATGAGAACGTACAACAATAAACTTTAATATTCTGTGAAATCTCGTGTTCTCATTCACACACATGAAATCCGATGTTCTCATTCAAACGCATCTTACATCTTGTCCTTTGTGATCTGACATGCAATCATCCTTCATAATCACTCCCTTTCACACTTCTCCTTTCTTGGTAGAGAATCCAATATTCAACTCCTGCAAATTGACGTCAAAACTCCTCCTCCTCCTCCTCCTCCTCTTCCTCCTCATCTCCCTCCTCCTCCTGCCCCTCCTCCTCCTGCCCCTGCTCCTCGTCTCCCTCTCCTCCATGTCGCCCACTCATGCTTGGGGCTCCTCCCCCCCCCTCCCGCACTTCCTCGTTCTTTGTCCTCTCAACGTACATCAGAAGGAGGAGCTGTCCAGCTCCGCTGGTAGCTTTTGAGTTGTATCGTCTCTGACGGATAAGGGTATTGCCCGCTTGCTGCTGTCCTTTCAGTACTACACGCTCCTCCTCCTCCTCCTCCTCCTCCTCCTCGCTTCCCCCTTTTCTTTCCTCTCCTCCACCTTCCCCTCCTTCTCCTCTCCCCTTCCTCTTCGTCTTCGTCCTTCTCAACTCCTCTGCTCTTATCCCAGTGTTTGTTCTCTCCTTTTCATTCCTGCTCCTGCTTATCCTCTTCCCGTCGCTCTTGCCTCTCGCCTTCCCTCACACTCTCCATAACCAATTCCATATGCTCTACTCGGATATCTTCTTCTCCTCCCTCTCGTCCTCCTCCTATTCCTCCCCTCCCTTCCATCATTCTTTCGATTCCTCCTCCTCCTCCTCCCCCCCCCCCTCCTCCTCCACGGGCCACTTCCTCCTCCTCCGCTTCCCTGCCACTTCCTCCCTATTCTTCCTCCACTTCCTCCTCCTCGTGGCCCCCTTCATCGGGTTCCTCACCCAGCGGTCGCGGCATGGCAGCTGCTCTTCCCTCCTGGTCCCACTCGCAGACTTCACGCAGCCACAAGGCGATCCTCCAGTCAGCAGCAAAGATCTCCGCGATCTGAGCGGCGATGTAGCCGCTGCGAGAACGGCTCACTTTCGCCTCCATCCTGTGGGAGAGCAGATCGAGATGGGGGAAGGGAGGGGGCAGGAACGACGGGGAGAGAGGAGGAGATGGCCAGGTAGAGGGAGGAGCAGAAGCAAGAGCAGCACGTAATAGCGGGAGGAGATGCAGAAGCAGCAGGAGGGGAGCAAGTAGGAGGAAGAGGAGGAGGAAGAGGAGGAGGAGGAGGAGGAGGAGGAAGCAGGAGGATCACCGAGTGTCTTTGACCCAGAGATCAGCTCCTGCTTGCACTAGAGCAATGGCAGCATTCGTAGACCCTCTGCAAAACAGATCAACAACCTATCCAACCCTCCTCTCTCCTCTTCTCTTTCCACTCCATTCCTCCCCTCCCCTCCCTCCTACTTCTTTTCTCTCTGCTCCCTGACTCCCTGCCTTCTCCAGCATGTTACTCGCACCATCACCTACCTGTGGGCGGCCGTCATAAGCGGGGTCATCCCAAACCGAGTCTGCGCATTGATATCTGCTCCTTTCTCGATCCTGACAGGAACCAACGTCACACGTCACTACAAGCAAAAACTGCGCGTCTTCACAGGAACTCAACGATGCTCGAGTAGTTATTCCGGGCAGCAACGTGGAGGACAGTAGCGTTGATGTTGGTCATGTCAAAGCCTGCCCAGTCTCCTGGAATCTTACAACGTCGTCAGGTCGAGCGCGGAAGAGAGGACTGGGCTACCGTAGAGTATCGAGTGTTCACGTCTGCTCCTGCCTGCACGCTCTGCCGCACGAGAAGATCCTGCCCAAGTTCTACAGCCTGTGGGAGGATAAGAGAGGAAGCGAGGAGCAAGGAGGAGATCCAGAAGGTGCGAGGAGGAGGGAGAGAGAGCAGAGTGAGTGGTGTTTGATTCAGGTATGATAAGCGAGGGAGTCAGTGGCGAAGAAGGGGGGAAGGAGGGGAGAAGAGTCGCAAGATGTGAGGAAGAGGAAGGGAGGAGCAGAGCGAAGGGTGAAGTTGGAGGAGAGAGGGAAGGAGGGGTACGAGACCTCCCAGAGGAGTTTGTGCAGGTCATCGCTGCTCGTGACTTGTAACTGCTTCAAGAAGAAGGCTCGCCTCTGCTCCTGCATGCTCTCCAGCCTCTTGAGATCCGGCGAAGCCTTCGCTTTCTTCCTGCAGCAAGCAAGTCAAAGATGATCGCTGAGAGGAGGATGAGGTGATTTCATGACAAGGAACAGACAAGTCGCGATGTGTTCTTGTGTTGTTGTGTTGTCATGTTGGTAGGACGCATGGCAGCTAGTCAGGCACAGTAGGTGGAGAGAGCGGGGACGGACAGGTGGAGCCATCAGTTGCATCAGGAGATGACATGGCGTACTTGACGTAGTCCTCGTCCCTGAAGACCCGAACGTCCCTGCCCCCCTTTCGCTCAATCGCTTTCCTCGCTTTCTGATCTTTCTTTTTGAACTTCTGCTTGAAGAATGCATAGTCGTTGTCATCCGTCAATATGCCATCTATGCCTCCTCCTCGGAGACCGAGGGCATGCAACCATGGCGATGAAGCGGCTGCCATGGCCGAAGTTTGTAGCGGAGTCATCCCAGTGTATGCGGACACATCGCAAGTTTCCCAGCATTCTGCAGCATCACTGGGCAGGAGGAGGAGGAGGAGCAGGAGCAGGAGGAGGAGGGGATAGAGTCGATATCTCTTCAAGATCAATCTCCCCATCTCTCATCTTCTCTCTCCATCTCCTTCCCCCTGCCCCCTCCCCTCTGCCAAGTCCCCACCCCGACCATTTTCGGTCCTACCAAAAAATCATATAGAGGATTTTGAACTGGGTTTATTCCATGGGTAGTGGAACGATAGGAACGAAGGGAGGAGGGGGAGGAGGAGCAGGGGGAGAAGGGGGGGAAGGAGGAGGAGGAGGAGGAGGAGAGGGAGAGATGGTGGAGTAGTGAAGGAGTCGATTCCCTCGGGGAGGTGGTGGTTCCTTACCGGTGTTATTTCAAAGGTAAAGGAACTACGGCGCATTCTGACTGGACTGACTGGATAGAAATCCCATCATGGTACACCCCCTTCCTCTTCTTTCACCCCCCTTGCCCTCTCTCCTCCTTCTCTCCCTCCCTCCATCCATGTCGTGTCGGCTGCAGCATTGAACGAGTGACCGCAGGGCATCAAGACGGAGATCTTGCAGGAGGGGCACGGAGAGCAGCCTCGTCCAAACGACTTCGTACATCCTCCTCCCTCCCCTTCCTCCTTCCCACCGACAACTGTTCCAGGTCTCCATCCGATACAAGCTCATGCTACTCGACGGTCTGCATGGCCCGCAACTTGTGCTGTCTGACTTAATACAGGCACCCTCGTCGGCGATACAGGCGGGGAGGACTCGGACCTAGGAGGAGAGCCCTTCCGGTTCTGCATGGGATGCGGCAGCGTCATCCAAGGTGCTCCTGCCCTGTCCCGCAAGGATCTGAGACTCTCCTTGGAGGCCTTGAGATGGCGATCCTGGAGCTCAGGGTCGGGAGCAAGGCGCGAGTGATGGTGGAGAAGCATTGTTCTGACTTGCTAGTCTTGTTGTGATTTTACATGCTCCAGATCACTCCAGACCTCGCGTATGGAACCAAGGTCTGAAGATCACTTCCCCATCCTCCTCCTCCTCCCTGACGGCCTCGCACGCCGCAGGGCCTCTACCCGTTCATCCCCGCTAACGCTGGTCTAATCTGCGAGCTCGAGCTTGTTGCAGCGAGCTCGAGCTGAACTCTACAGGAAGTCATCCTGCTTGACCAGGGAGAATCTTTCCACCTTCCTCCTTATCCTTTCCAGCTTGCAGCCAGGCGTCAGCCACAGAGGGGGCAGGGAGGGCAGCGGGAGTACCTCGTGGGGGGGAATCGAGCTCTGCAGCATGGAGAGATAGACTTTGGCCTTGTTTGCGATGGAAGGATCAGAACTGCCATGCCTGGAGAGGCAGCAGAGTCAGGGGGAGGATGGAGGAGGAGGAGGAGGAAGTGCCGACTTGTCCACAAGAAGGAGCCATTCGCATGCCCGACTGAGATCCCTGACAAGCACAAGTGAACATGAGCTCGTCGTTATTTGACGGAAGGGAGATGAGAGGCGAAGGAAGCATGGGAGAAATGGGAGAGGAAGGGGGAGGAAGGGGGAGGAAGGGAGAGGAAGGGAGAGGAAGGGTTCCCAGGAAAGTACCTTGTCAGCGCTTTTCCCTCTGCGAACATGATGGCATACGTGAACATGCCTGTCAGGTCTCCTCGCTCTGCTGATTTCTTCGTCCAGAGAACAGCAGACTGCAGGATGAAAGCAGAATGAGGAGACGTCGGCACATGTTGTACCCTCACCTCAAAATTCTGATACTCCTTCACTGTGTAATACATGAAGCTGTGAGGAAAGCATGAGAAGGAAAGAAACAGGAAGGAGAGGGAAAGGGAGAAGGGAGTGCACAAGGGGAAAGGGGAAGGGAGGGAGGAGGAAGATGGGGGAGGAGATGGAGAAAGAGGAATATGCCCCAAAGGAGGGGGAAGAAGGAGGAGGAGGCGGAAGACAAGAAGCGGTCTCCAACACCTCTTGACTCACCCAAGGTAAGCCATGGCAGATATGTCATCGCTCTGAGCTGCAGCATGTAGCAACTGCCGTGATCTCTCGATATCCCTTTCAACTCCATCGCCTGCCCTTCTCTCACAACCCCATCCTCCTCCTCCTAGGTCAAGACCGTTCATCAGCAAGATACCAGCCATCCTCTGGCAGATTGCATCAGCTACAGCTGCTCCTTCCTGCATGGATCGGAAGTGAGGAGGAGGAAATACGAAAGAAGCGGAGGAGAGTGTGTTGCTCTGAGGGAGGGAGAGGAAGCGGAAGAGGAGGGGAGAGGAGGTGGTGGAGGCTGGGGGAGGAGGAGGTGGAGCAGGACACGTACCATAAACCACTCGAACGCCAAACTTGCATTCTTAGGAATGCCATTCTTCCCGCGATAGAACGACAACCCTCCAATCCAAGTCAGATGAGATCCTGTCGTCCTCGCTCTTCCCATCCTCACCCGACTTGGCCAGCGCCTCTCTGGACCCAAAGCACGCGGCTGTCTTGGTTCAAATACTTCAGCTCGCGGTAGGAACAAGTTGAGGCACCTGGTACAGCAGCGATCCTTCCCATCTGAATCGCCTCGACATGCATAGCGAGAACTTGGAGAGGAGGTAGAGGAGTGCGAAGAAGCAACAGGCTGCCATGCTGAGGAGCAGCCATCGCAAGTAAGTCTTCATTGGCGATGGCCTCTTGGGGCCCGTGCTAGGCTCCGAACTCCTCGAATTCATCCTTGTGACGTGTCATATTTGTCCTCTGCGAGTGGAAGGCACAAATTTCTCACCGCTGGCGGAGTTTTCCAACTAGCGGATCAGCAGAATCATGAAGAGAGCGCATGCTGGCGTACTTCTTCCTGTCATCCACAACCCGCTGTCTCACATGCGCGAAAGCAGCATCCACGTCCCCACCTGTACACATCGTCGAGGGGATGCTCCCAAGAGGCGGTCTTGGTCGTCTCGTTATAGTAATAAGGGTTCCCGGTGAAGTCCTTCATCTCCTTGTATCCTTCAGGCAGGTCGGCATATAGTCCCTCCTCTGCCAGCCACCTTGCAGACAAGAGGTCACCCATCAGCCCGATCCATGTCAGAACCGTCCTCACAACAAGCCTTTGTCGAGCCGGAGGTTCATCCCGATGTAACGCTGCATGCATCGCTTCATAAGGAGCCCGGCCCTCTACTGGCCCTTACCGCATACTCCTCCACAGCCCGCCTCCGAAGTTTGAACACGTCTCCTCTGCCAGCATGTCAAGTGTTGCCGAGCTCACGCTTGAAACCTCTCCTCACCTGCTCAAGTCTGAGTCCCTCGGCGGGTACCATGCCGTCGGGCGCTTGACCGCTCTTGACACGTTCCTGCGGTGAAGGGAAGGTTCTGAAGTCGCTGCGCTCCTCCTCCCTCCCTCCCTCCTTGAATCTTGATCATGATCTTGTCCTGACATGCTCGATGTGTGGGCTCACTAGGAGCCAGTGTTCCTGATGGCCTCAACGCTGCTCTCCTGCCGTTCTATCAATGCTTCATCTCCTCCCGTAGGGAGTGGGGTGACGACTGCGGGACAAGGCGGAGTAGAGCGGAGCAGGAGCAGGAGCAGGAGCAGGAGCAGGAGCAAGTCATTCGAGAGCAGCGTAGTAGCCTAGTAGAGTCAAGGAAGCTTCTCTCTGACTTTTTTTCGGTTTTGTTTTTGTTCTTTCAAGTACCCCTGTAAAGAAAGGTAATTGTACGGGTACCTCGAAGGGAGCATCCTTGTAAAACCTACCCGGAAAAAGATGGTATGGTCGCGATGTGTTCCGGAGGGGACTGGGAGGGGAGGAGGAGGAGGAGGAGAGAAAGAGCGGACGAGGAGGATGATCGATGTTTGTATTGAGAAGAGAAGAAGGATATGCAATGTCAGAGTTGTTGTCATGTGTGAAATCGACCCTGTTTATCGTACTGCCCTGTTTGTCCTGTAAAGCCATGAATTCAAAGTGACATGCTCGTCTGCAAGGTTTTTCAACTGTTGCGTGAGTTGGAGAGTCTTCAGTCAGGTAAGCTTTCCTTCACTCATTCTCGCACTTGGTTTCTTCTGACATGACGGTCGGCCGCAAAATCAGACGCAGCGACCAGCATGTCAGGGTTCCCCATCCTGTGGCTACCCGAGGAAGAGGTAGATGAATGCAGCGCGAAGGAGGTGTGATGGTAGACGAACAGATCCAGAGGCAGAAGCGTCAAGCCCTGGACTTCTGTGTGTCTCATTTCACCACTGAGATGGAGCAGAAGCACTGCCTTCAAAAGATCTTGGAGAACGTCGAGTAAGTTTGTCGCCGTTGCCCTCCCCTCCTTCAGCCTTTGTTTTCTCGCTGTCCTCTATCAACGCGCTGTGCTGTACTTACAATCATTCAGGTACAATGATGCCTCGTATGCAGCTCCTCCGTTGACAATGTAATCCTCCTTCTCCTTCTTGGCGCATTACGCCAAACAGTTTTGTCTTGGTGTCAGTTTTCCCATTGGAACACTCTTAAACGATCTACCCAAAGAACTGGGCAAGTTTTTGAACTCTTTGTTTTTAGAGATGATGAGAATATTCTTGTGTCTTGTTGTAAACACGCTTTAAAGGAAAACTGTATCCGCGTCCAGCGGCGCTCAACCAAGATAGTACCCTGAACCTGAGGGAGTTTTCCCACCTTCAACTCCAGCCAGACTTGATCTCGAAAGCGTACTCGTACTCCAAGTGCTTGACCTGACGTGGCCATGAAGCTCAGAGCACGCAAGACTGCCTGGAAGTTGACTCACCCCGTCATCATCTGCGAACGAAGAGTTCGCCGTAAACCCCCCGCGAGCGAACCATCCGGACGGAGCCTCTTCCCAAGTCTGGAAAGTTTGACGTCAGCTCACCGGCCAGGGGCAAACAAGAGGTCGACTTGTCTAGGGATGGTCACGACGTAGGGTTGTGGTTGGGGAGCATAGCTGTCGTGAAGAAAGCTTCAGTCACCTACATAACCAGGGGATACCTCTTGCCTCCCGAGCATCTCCTCGTCCTTCCGCAATCTCAATCCTGCCTTGTACACCTGCTCATGACTTCAACTCCACCAGAAGATGTCGACTCAAGACTTTGATGATCGGACCTTGTTGATGTACTTCAAACCTGAAACAATCTCGTGCTGCGGAACACGATCAGCAGCTGGGCAGTGGACAACCCAGACGCTACACCTGGACGCGGAAGGATATCTGTATCTTGTAGTTGCACTTCTCCTTCAAGACCTTCACGCAGGTTTTAGCAGCACGGCAGGCTGGGACGAGAGGAGACGCACGAATGGCTTCGACTTCATGGCCTTGACGTCCTGTGGCGTGTTGAGGGTGTATGTGATGTCGCCTCCAGGTCGATCCTCGAAGAGGATCTAACAGAACTTTGAGATGAACTCGATCTCCTCTGCTGCTCTCCTCACGTACCTTGAGTTCTGTGATCACAACTCTGCGCTTGTCGTTGGGGTCGACGGCCAGCTGACCTTTGGCAGCTGCTCCCAGAAGCTGAAGGACTAGTCAACGACCATGACCGGGCAAGGGAGCACCCAAGATCGCTGCACCTGCTCCTTGTACCTCCGGAGAGACTCGTCATTCTGGTCCTTGGCCAGCAGCTCTTGCACTCCCACCTTCTCGGGCACTTTGTACCTGTTACACCTGCCAGTCATTCGATGGTCAGGCAGAAGAAGACGGACCCATCGTTGGGCTTGTCATCGTCATCTTCGTTGGACGCCTGAAGCCAAGAGTGAGAGGCAATGTTGCTGAGTTCGCAGTACATCCATGTACCGCTCCTGTCAGATGGGCTGGCTTCGCAGGAAGCGGCGGAGGTGCTCCTCGTTGGCTCATGATCCTGGGACCAAACTTCAGAGGATAACGCACAGATCGGACGAAAGTCTTGCATGCGCAAAATTTGCTGAAGAATGTGATATTTTCTCACTAAGTGTCATGCTTTACAACACAGCAAACAAAGTCCGTGATGATGGGAGCAGGAGCTGTTGTCTTGCAGGGCACTAGACGTTGCAATGTGGTTTGCGGAGTTGCCAAGATGATCGCACCAGGGTATCTGTCCTCTCCTTCTCATGCAAACTCGTCAGAGAAGACACGACTACTACATTTCTCTCCTGTGCAGCTTACTCTACCTCCGCCTCTCCCTCATGCCATACTGTTGTCTACTCGTAGCCTGTAGCCTTCTGTCATTTTGGTGTGAATTGAATCGATTAGACTCAACAAAATTGATGATTGAATCGATTCAGGTCCGATGGTGGCACTGCGGCACGGCCGTGACGCGCGGCCCGGCCGCGGCCGCCGGCGTTTCCGAGTCGGCGTGCCAGCATACCGTAGTACCCCGGTACGGTCCGACGTCCCGGCGGGCCGGCCGCCCGGCGTGCCGCCGGGCACCCGGTCCGATCATGCCACTGGCTATCATATCCGCCCCAGTCCGGGGTGACTGACTGTGAGTCGTGGCCGCCCCGGCGACGGTGACCGTGTAAAGAGCCGGGCGACTCGGACGGTACGGAACTTCGGAACTGTGCACAGCGGCACTGCGGCACACGGCCCGCGACTCCGGGCCGTGTCGGGGCGGCCTGGTCCGATCGGCCGCGCGCCCGTTGGCCTTCCCTCAGTGACTTAACCGTGCCCGGGCCACTGAGCCTTGAAGGCGGGGCGCCCCGCATCCCCGCTCAAAACAGAGTCACATTGCAGGTCACATTGTCCGAGGCTGTGCACCGTTTTGTAGCCGAAAAGAGTTCTTTTCATCATTGGTACCCAAGTAGGAGCACCCCGGTTGTGACTTTACACCCCCCCCTCGTACCCCATTTCAAACATTTGAAAGGACGGGTACTGTATGTACCCTACCCTATGCTAAACACTAGTGGAAGTATTTTTCGTATCTCCAAGGATCGGGATCTCTCGAAGATCACCCTACCTCCTGTTCTCTTTCAACCACCATACCCTACATAAAACAACCATTTCATGTAAAATGGAGGGGTATATTAGTACCCCCACCCCCCATAAAGCATTATTATGATGGGATTTTGTTAGGCCGATCCGTCCGCTGGATGATCAAACACGAGGCCGATGTGAGGGGTGGGATATATGACCCCTACCTATAAGAAAAGAAATTTTCCTGATTGACCCCTCCAAAATATCACCCTACCATAGATTTATACTGTAAAATCCACATGTCAACACGGGTTAGGATTCACCCTTGCAGAGCTACACCCTAGGGTCTCTTTCGCCACGATCTCCCACCCATGTCAATGCTACCCCTACCCCCACGTTTCCCCCGGCCCCGTACTCATAATGCATCGCATGATTGTCATCCTGCTCACGTCCTCGTCCTCGTCCTCGTCCTCGTCCTCGTCCTCGTCCTCGTTCTCGTCCTCCACAGGCTTTTTATCGCGTCGTCCTCGTTTGTTACTGACTAGAATCCGATGAATCTTACTTACCACCTACCATTGTCTATCTTCCTCCTCCTCCTCTGTGTCCTGACCTTGACTCCCGTGTTCCAATGCAGCCACGAAAGCTTTCGTACATTTACTTCCTTAACCTTGCATTCATCGCCCTCACATTCAAGCTAACATTGCATCTTTGACTTGAATGTCCTGACTTTTGATTCGTTGCACACTGCTGTGATGCTTTCTTGTCTTTCTTCTGCAAGAAAAAATCAGGGGGCTAAGAAATCGTGAATTGACATTCCGATCACCAGAACTAGAAACGTGTTGATTTATTGTGATGCCATGATGACGGTTACTTCGCAGATTACCTAACAACTTCTGCTTGTACAACGAGATCGAAGGAATAGTACCTGTAAACGGGTGTAACAATGTCTGGAGAAAGACGGGCTTCCCCGACCATGGAGCATTCAGTCTGTCGACAGTGTGAGGACAGGAAAAGGAAGCGAAATGTCTTCAACACTTTCCCGTGGTTTCCTGGCTCTGGGATCCCTTTCTACGATTTTGGGCCCGAGGACGACAAGCGCGTGAGGAGGAAACAATTTACCGCGAGCCTCTTGTTCCTGGACATGCAGGTCTGCTCCTCTTCCATTGCTCCGTTCCTCCTGTACCCCGTTCCCTCTCCTCGCTTCCCTTCCTGCCTTCCCTCTCTGTCTCTCCACATTTTCTGTCCCTGTCCCTGTCCCTGTCCCTGTCCCTGTCCCTATACCTTTTCCTCTCCTTTTCCTCTCCTTTTCCCTGTCGCATCCCGCCCTCCTTGCTCTTGTAGCTTTTCTTCTCTTCGCCCATCTTCTCTTTCTGAATACAGCGCAGGAGCGAGTGAACGAAGTGCTCAGAACGAGGGAGGAGAAGGACGTGGAGGAGCGGAGGATCTCAGCTAGGCTTGCGAAGCAGCATGCGATCAGTTTCGATCGTCGGCCTCTGCCCAGGGTCGAGCAAGCCACGAAAATCCGATTGCAGCATTCTGAGAACGAGCAGGGGGAAGACACGGGGAGCGGAGCTGACAGAACTCGTCCTGTAGCCCTCAATGCAGCAAGGAAAGGGCAACAACGTGCGACAGTGACTTCTCAGCCCCTTGACAACTGCCTGCCATGCTGGAAGCAGAACAAGCTTGCTCCGCAAGGTCTTCTGACCTCCATCGACCCCCTCACGGCATGCGGGGAGGCGTTCCATGATCTGGTGGACGTGCTTGCCCGAGATGCTGCGACGTCCAGCGCTGAGAAGGAGGCGATTCAGAGCGCGTTCATCCTCAAGAAACAGTCCACAGACTGCTGAGATGCTCCCGTCCCCTCAGAGTCCCTTGTAGTCTATGCTGGTTGGCGGCCCCAAGACCTGAGATGACCCTTGCACGAACATTAAAATCATCTCAATGAAGGCACAAATTGCGCAGATTGCTGCTGATATTACAATATCTTCACTGCCAACAACGTACACTCCTCCTCCTCCTCCTCCTCCTCCTCCAGCCCCGCACCTGCTCCTACTTGTATCTCCAGTCTTCAGCAGAAGGATTCGGATCGACAGATCTGACAACCAAGGACGAATTCCGTTCCATTCCTGTTTAGAATGCAAATGATTGGAGGCATGAGAGGGAAAGGACGTGCGACAAGCAGCAAGACAGAGATGGATGAGCAGGATGAATGAGGACGAGGACGTGTAGATTGTGTTGTTGATACGAGGGAGAGAGGGAGAGAGGGAGAGAGGGAGAGAGGGAGAGAGGGAGAGAGGGAGAGAGGGAGAGAGGGAGGCTGGAAGCGGAGGAGGAGAGGGAGGAAGGAAGGGGGAAGGAGGAGGAAGAGAGTACTTTGGATGAGGGATACGGAGAGGGCAGGTCTTCGGGGTACAACTGCGGCATGTTCAAGTCAATCTTTCGTTCGCAAGACTCGCACGCTCATTACGTCGGCAGATCCTTTTGCGCCTTCCTGCTCATCGACTCGGCTGTACCCTGTGCTCATCATGAGCAGACGGTCAAACCAGCGAGCAAGTGAAAGATCCAGGGAGGGAGGGAGAGGAGTAGGGATGGAGGAAGAGGAGTAGGGATGGAGGAAGAGGAGGAGGAGGAGGAGGAGGAGGAAGAGGAGGAGGAGGAGGAGGAAGGAGCGGCTGACGCTCTCTCTCCTCCTTACCTGCTTGCGGTGACAAGAGTCACAGAAGTGTGTTGTGCCCCAGCAAAACCACGAGGCGACAGAGCAGCAGAACTGCAAGTTTAGGCGTCAGGATCGAAAGAGGACTGAGGGGAACGGAGGAGGGAGGAGGAGGGAGGAGGAGGAAGGGATAAAAGTACGGGAGGGGAGCAGGGTCTCTTGCTGACCTTGCACTTGTACTCGATCGCTTCGGTTCCATGCTTGGGACATGCGGCTGCTCCCATAGCTGAGCATCCCCCGCAGATTTTCTCTCGCTCGTCGAATTGCTTCAATTCTCGTTAATAGAATGAAGGGGATCAGGGCAAGGAGAGGACAAGGGGGGTCAGGCGTGAAGAAGGAGGAAATAGAGGTAGGAGGAGCCTTGAAGGGAAAAGATAAGATGGAGGGAGGAGACAGCAGGAGGACGCGACGATACCCGCTCCTCGCCTACTCCAGCAGCGACCTCGCAGCTCCTGTGCCCTCCGAAGTAGGGCTGCTTGCACTTATAGCAAAGGTAGTAGGCAAACTTGTGCATGGCATATTCCCCGGGCTGCTTGTGGTACCTCCCTCCTGCTCCTCCTCATCACCGCCAACACCATCACCATCGAGTTCGACCTGCTCGTAGCTCTGGCGCGTCTTTGTGCCCTCCTTCGAGTGCAAGTCGCTGCTCTGCCTTTGTGAGGATGGCCTAGTGAAGCCCTTCAGTTGGCTGCCTCCTCCTCGTCCTCCAGTCTCCCCCTGCCTCCTAGTTTCCTCGTTCCTGCTGTTCTCGTCCCTACCTTCCTGAGACTAGCAGGTCCTCGTACTGCTCCTGCTCCTGCTCCTGCTCCTGCTCCTGCTCCTGCTCCTGCTCCTGCTCCTGCTCCTGCTCCTTTCCATGCTCCTGCTCCCTCACCTGGTAAAGCTCCAGCCCGGGCTTTATAATGTCTTCGATCGCCTTTGCCTGTTGGCACGTCTTCACTCCCTCCTCGACCTTGGGGCTTCACAGGCAGCGGGGGCCTCAGACTTGACCGTCTCACCTTCATGTGCTTCTTGCACAGGGGGCATTCCAAGAATCCAAAGGTGATCCGAACCCCCGACCACAAGTTCTTGATCTTCGAAACTACACACGAGTAGTGGAATACTGAAATAGCTACCGTCACTCTCCTCCTCCTCTGCCTCCTCTTTCGTCCATAGCCTTCTGCCCTCGCACCTCCTAATGCCTCCCGTACCTCTCTGCTCCCGATCTCTCCCCCTCCCAAAACATCTCAACTTTCCCTCTGTATCCTTCCTGCCCAACTTCTCTCCTCCATAGCACTGCTTCCCCGTATCTCTCTCCCTTGCACCTCTCCTCTCCCTCCTCTCCTTCCCTCCTCTTCCTCGCTCCCCTCACTAGCTTACCATGTCCGCACTCGAGTCTGATGCAGGGAGCACAGCGGAGCTCTTCGACCCAGCAGATGCTGCAGAGATCGCTGGCGGCGACTTTCACCTCCTCTGCTCCCTGCATCTCCTCGCACTGCAGGCAGCCAAGACACTGTCGCTCTCCTCGCAGTCCCAGACAGACATGCCCGCAAGGGAGGATGCAGCAGCAGCCTTGTCTTGCCTTCTGCTGGCACTCATTGGCTGATCCAGCATCGTCACGTGGCAATAGAGGAGGGGACGGGAGGGAGGGAGGGAGGGAGGGAGGAAGAGGAGGAGGAAAGGAGGGTAAGGAGGTTAGAAAAAGATCGATACCTTCACACAGGTTTGAGAGGGGATCGGTCAATTGGACAAGATGCTGTAAACTTGCGATGGTCTGAGAGGATTGGTTGACGTCGTACAATCTGTCCCTTAGAATCCTCTGCAGGAACGAAAGAAAGAGAGGAGGGGGGGGGGAAGGAGGAGTGGGGCAGAGAAGGGAACAGAGAAGGTGGTGAGATGTAGGAGGACGGTGAGAGGGGAGGAGGATCACAGGTTCAGAGCACGTGAAAGCAAGCTCTCCAGTCTCGCACCTGCAAGTAGCTAACGTCATTCATCCTCTCCCGGCTGACGGACTTGGTGATCTGAACATCGCAGTAGCGGCACTTGCGGGATCTGCTGTACCTCACGAACCCCTCACTGCAGCCGCAAGCCTCAGTCGCCTTCCTCCTCGCACACCCCACAGTACACACCACGTGAACCCGTTGTGGTAGGGCGTCGCTAGGCACTCGGCGCAGAAGTCCGTGTCCGGGCATTTTCGGCACCGGAACCGGTACGTCATGCGGTGCCGGAAGGCTTCTTCGGAGAGCGGCTTGCCGTCTATCCCGATCATCTTGTTCCAGTGAGGGGGGAGCTGCCTGTCTTGGTGCGAGGGCTCCATGATAACAGCCCAACCGCAGCTGTTGGTGGAGGTATCAGGCCGTGTAGTGACATAGGAGGAGGAGGAGGAGGAGGAGGAGGAGGAGGAGGAGGAGGAGGAGGAGGAGGAGGAGGAGGAGGACGAGGAGGACGAGGACGAGGACGAGGAGGACGAGGAGAGAAAAGAAGGAAGAAAGCAGGGAAAGAGAGGAGGAGTGGCTATAGCAGGGAGGTGTTTCAAGAGGAGAAGGAGGCACTATGAAGGCGAAGTTTCTCACTTCATCGGGCATTTCACGAGCTTCCCGGCGATGGTCGCAGAGCCGTCTGCCCCACTTGCTCATGCAATCGCTCCATCAGGGGCGGGCTCACCGTCAATGTCCAAGATCTGCAGCGAGACATACTTGTCGAAGTCTTCAGCAGGGAGCAGACCTTTCACCTGGACCCCCGAGAATCACCTCGAGCCCTGAAGAGAGCGGAGAGAGAGAGAGGGGGGAGGAAGGGAATGGAAGAGGAGGGAATGCGAGGTAAGGGCTCGGGAGGAAAGGGAAGGGAAGGGAAGGGAAGGGACGACTGTACATTCATCTGATGTAGGAGCTCGCCGCATCCCTCTATGGGACATACGTAGTCTGTCTGCCGACTCGGCTCCCGCTGATCCACAAATTGCTTGAAGCAGCTACAGAGACAGCGTCAGGAGGATACGATGATGGATGGAGAGAGGAAGAGGAGCGAGGGGAGAAGACAAAGTAGAGGCTGTCAGAGCAGCGGATGGAGCATGCAGTCAGGGAGCGACACAGGTCAAATGCGTTAGGACAACGATGGGGCAGTCTTGTCTTTCTGGTCATCCTCCTACCTTGCGCAGACATGGTGACCGCAATCAACCTGTTGGACGCTGCGGCCGATCTCGGCAGCATCGCACCTGGTCTCGCAAACCTGCCCAGCAAGGGACTTCAGGAGAGGCATGCCCCGGAGGTGTCGGGCCATACCTGGCATGTCCTCTCCTGCTCCAGGAAGTCTTGGAACAGCCTCGAGTTCTCGAGCTGCCTCTCGTTCTGTGATGGCGTAAGTCGCTTGCTTCGCATCTCGATCATCTCCACCTGCAGCCTGATATCCTCGTTCTCCAACTCGTACTGCAGCTTCCTTGCCATGTCCTCGTCTGCCGAGAGGTCCGGGCAGCTCCTGGAAGCGAGCTCGTCATCCAGGAAGCTGTGGATCCTGTGCACTGCATTCGACAGCTTCCCGAGTTCTTCGATCGTCCTGCACCTGCGGTGCTCCAATAAGACTCTCGTTCTACAGCAGCATGTGCTCTGAGCGCGAACCTCTCGAGCAAGCTCAACAGAGACGCCTCGATCTCCCTGCCCGGCTCATGGGAGTCGCTGGCCTCGAGCTGCGTTTGCTCTGACATCTCAAGATTGCGGACTTCTTCCATGTCGATTAAAACCGGAGCATCATCTAGCTCGTCACCGTTCATGATGGCGCCTGCCCTCAACGCGTCAGCTCAGCGCAGTAGGAAGCCAAGCAAAGCGAGGGAGTAAGAGACGGTCATACAAGGGACATGCCCCTCCCGCTTTTCTTCTCTTCCTTGCGGAATTTGCATTGCACCATCTTCCTCTCTGCCTCTTCCCCTACCTCTTCCTCTTCCTCTTCCTCACCCCCCCCTGCGCATCTCCCCCCCCTCCCCCCTCCTCCCTGCCAACAAGCTTTCCCCGCAACTCACCTGCATAGACTCGGACAGCACAAAATTGATAGCAAGGCAGCGGCGGGCCCGGCGGCCGCGGGTGCCAGTTTACTGAGTCCGACGCCGCCGGTCCGAGGCGAGTCGACCGTCACGCCGAGTCGAGCCTGGGCTCGGGTCCGCCTCAACTGCCGTGGTCGCCGGACCGCCGGCCCCCGTGACTCGGACGGGCCCTGATCGATCGGATAGCCTTTACTCAAAGTTAAGTTAAAGATCAGTACGAGGACAAACAGGTCAGAGTCGAGGAGGCTTGACCCTGACACTGTCGCGGTCACTGTCCACTGGGCCAAACGCCGCGAGGAGAGAAAAGACAGCAAGAACCAAACCTAATCCTGCCGACTGCTTTCCCCCAAACTTAACTGATGATACCTTCACTTCCTATGTGACAGCGGAACTTGCCAGTGAGACGCATACAACCTTGCGACGGTCCGCCGAGCGATCGGATGATCCGCCAGCGACCGTACCACAGAATTGAGCGCAACGCATCATCCTGCAAGAGTCCATCAGTGCTGGCAATGATGGGAAGAAAGGCCTCAGGTTGGCAGGACGTGCTGAGCACCGTGATGCATGACGATGCCCTCGGATCTTCCGGGAGTCCGCTGTGCTGCTGCTTGCAGTTTGCTCCGAGCGAGACGGTCCGGTATTCAACCATCATTGTCAAAAACATGTGACATGCTGAAGAGTCCAGGATTAACCCGGCATGCCATCCGCCTCCAGTAGCCGGGCGGCCTTCAGTTGAGTTGCGGAAGTTCAAAGTCCTCGCCTCTGCCTGGACGGCATCTCACTCCGGAATCTTTGATGTCGGAGGGTCGGATAGCAGTACCGTCGGGAGCCTCAGGGCCGGCCCGCCGCCCCTGGTTCCGAGTGTGGCACGGGCTCCGCCGGGACCACCTCCGAGCTCACCGACAGGGACTCATAAGGAAACTGGCATTGTAGTCACGTTACCGGATATGTCCGATCATGACGGCACAGGATATCTCACCGGAGTTGAGGTCCGACGCAGACGAAAGACGTTATTACTACTACTGTCACTCACCGTGTAAGCCACAAGCTTGACTCAGCGGCAGCGAAGGGAGCTGTAAACCTTGGGGGCTATTATAATCAGTTTACTCAAAGTTAAAAGGGTTATAATATTGACAGGTTCTTGTTCTCTGTCAATTCAAATATCAATCTCGAGCCTCGTGTACCAGGGGTGTATGTAATTCCTCTTCAAAGGACCGGTACTTGGGTATGATCACGGTAGAGTCAAGGTGGTGGTCTCGTGAACAGCGCCCAGCGCCTCGGAAGCCAACTCCACCTTCTTCGGCCCTGGAGCTTTCTGTGACTCTCTTAAGAATCAACGTTTCACAGCTCAGATACGAAAACTATCCCTTTCGGTCGTCAGACGCGGGGCGACTTTAAAACATACAAGTGATGGGATGCAATTGTGTTTCGTTATAAAAGGACAGCAGGCGAGCAACAACAATCGCTCCCACGAGAGAAGAAACACGACAGAAGGACGAAGACTGAAGATGCAGGGCAAGGGAGACAAATTCATGATGCAGGCCAGGGATATCCAAGTGATCGACAACGACTGCGCCGTCAATGTTGTTTTCAATCTCCCCCAAGTTCACAAGGATGAGAAGGTTTCGTCGCCTCGACGCGCGACTTATCATCCCCCTCCGAAGAGATTCTTGAGGTCGAGGCCAGGAAGCGCATGCATGTCCGATCCTGGATCTGATCTTTCCTCAATGATGAGGAGCAGCTCTGCTACAGACCTCCAGCAAACGCGAGTGGATGTGAATATGCCAAATAGAGGAATGACCCGCTCGTGCTCAGACAACATACTGCACGCTCTGACGGGATTTGGACATGACGAGGAGATGTCAGAGTATGAGAAGAGCATCATCGCCCGAAGAATGCGGAACCGTCAAGTAGGAGTGCAGATAGCAAGGGAGGAGAGCCGACCCCTGGCAAGGTTCATTACGGTTCACTTGTGAGATGGGTGGGGTACGGCAACGAATCGCCTTAAAGTGCGACTGAAAACTTGATTAACCGATGAGTACGAATAACCTTTTTGTGAGAAATCGTCTTGAAACTAACTTGAGCGTTTCTACATTGTAGAATCTGTGTGATATAATAAAAAATCATATCCTTCCCCAAACTCCTTCTTGGCATTGCGGTGATCATCTCGGTGCAAAATCACCTCATAGTCAACATCATCGTATGTTCTTGCACGTTGACACGAAACAGACCCTGTAATAGAACCAAGAGAGAGGAAAAACCTATCATTACACACATAATGAATTGCAAAGATGGAGCGAAGGAAGAGTTGTCACTTGCAGAGCTGATCTGACGCGCTCATGCGCTCTTGAGCTCGAGTCGTAGCCTCGGCTTGACCCTTTCTCTTTGAGCAATCTCGAAGCCAACCTGGCAGTTTCGAAGTCGTCGTTCTGCATGGCTTGCCACACCTCCCTTCATGGCATCACATCTGCTCCCTGCCGGCTGCACTTGACGAATCAACGGGCTGGCAGCTTGCGATGTGGCCCGCATGAAGCAACGAGAGGTTGGCAAGAGGGCTTCAAGCTGGTTGCGGCCTGGAGATGCTGTCAAGGAAGAGCGAGGCTGATGCGGGTGAATTCGTCCTAGATGGTACAGTAGTGCTGCTGAGAGACTCAGTGTGAGGAGAAACTTGAGCAAGCGCGTCTGCAGTGCGTCTGCTGGACTGGGAGCCGTCGGGGTTCAGGCAGCTGGGAGTGGGATGCTCTTTGTTTGCATTCATTGCTGCGTCAGCCGGGCAAATGACGAGAAAGTTGATATCTTATGAAGTTGTTGTTGAAGGTCCCTTCAACTTTTCGCGAGTAGCTCACTGCTAAGTTGATCCCCTGATTTAGCCGCGGCGGGAGCGCCGGGCCCGGACTGGTCATCGGCGATTCAATGAGCCATACTGGCACGCCTTCATTCTCAGTACAACTGTGTGAGATTGGGCGAGACATCCTCCAGTCCTGTGTTGACTCACTTCACTGCTCGGAACTTTACAGTGACCACGTTATGGCTAGATCGCTCAGCGGAAAGTAAAAGTCATTCCGAAGTTCACTGAATTACTGGGACATCTGTAGTACGGGAGGTCCAGCCTCGGGATTCATGGCCTCCTGATATTCACCCAGATCACAGTTCTGTCCACCATCATTGGCCCCTTCCTCTGCTCCTGCTCCTCTCCCTCGAGGATCGTCGATATCCCCTGCTCCTGCTCCTGCTCCTGCTCCTGCTCCTGCTCCTGTCTCGTGGCGCCCTACGGTATCCCCTGCTCCTGCTCCTCGACCTATCTCTCCAGAACTGCCTGCGATCCCTTCCCCTGCTCCTGCTTCTCTCCCTCGAGGATCGCCGATATCCCCTGCTCCTGCTCCTCTCCCTCGAGGATCGCCGATATCCCCTGCTCCTGCTTCTCTCCCTCGAGGATCGCCGATATCCCCTGCTCCTGCTCCTCTCTCTCGAGGATCGCCGGTAGCCTTTGCTTCTCTCGTTGCTCCTCCCTCGGGATGACCTATAGTGACCCCTGCTTCTGCTCCTCGACCTCTGCGGCTTCCTGCCTCGACTCGGTGAAGCCTCTTTCTCTTGTGCTCCCCGACGCGACGACGGCACACCATCATCAAGGGTACGAAAATCCCTGGGGAGCAATGAGGGCAGCCCGTTGAGAGGAAGCGGATCTAGCGCACCTGCTTCCTTCTGGGTGCTGACGATCCTTGCTCCTCTCACTCGACTTCTGACTCTCCCCCTCGTCGCCGGGTCTACCGAGGATTGAGTTCAGCGATGGTAGGAGCACACAACACACGGCAGAGGAGGGTTCCAACGGCAGCCCCCTCAACCTCGTCCTCTCTGCTGCGCAACTTGCGTCTCTCTCCCCACCCTCACATCCTCGCACACTTTCGTCACCTGTTTCTGTTGGTCCCTTTGGAAGCGGACGAGTCAGGTACCTCCCTATGGTGATCTTGTCTGGGTGCTTTCAAGTCAGAGAGGCAGCATGCAGGTGAAGCGCAGCAACCTGTCCTCGGAGGCAGTAGAGCGCAGTGGAGCAGCTTCAACTTTGTCCTCTCGATGATTATCATCCTTTGTTGGGCTACGGGCATGCCTGATCAAAGGTCGCACGAGACGATCAGACGTCAGTTCTTACGTGACCGAGGCAAGCTAGCGTCTCACCGCCTTGGCTCTGCATGGTTCGACTCATGACGAGCGGCAGTTTCTCTCTTGCTCCTGTCTGCTGCAGGTGCTGCCCGCCAGGTCGCAGTCAGCCAGCGTGCGGGAAGAGAAACAGCGTGCGGGAAGAGAAACTGAGTGAAGAAATTGACGCTACCTTGATGCTCTGACAGGATCTCATGCGAGCAGTCGTCGAACACGGCCTGGGTCACTGCCATCATGACAAGCCTGCATGCTTCCTTGACTGCAACTGCCTTCCCCTCGTCTCGTTCGATCCTGCAAACGATTCTTGCATCAGAATTGACAGCGCATGCTGTTGGAAGTAACCGAAACATTCGGAACAATTCTACCTCCTCTCTCTTCCCGCATCAACTATTATCCACCTCCATGATTTGTTTATCACCGGGCAAGACTTTCGTTTCTTCTCTTCACTTCCCTCCTGTCTCTCCTCCTCGCTTACTGTCCTCCTCATTGTTGCCGTGTCGCTCCCTTCCACTGCTTCCTTCCATGCGCTCCAACACTCTTGAACCACTTCCTAGCCTCTCGCCATTTCCTCTAATCTTGCATCTCCTATCGCTGCCGCCTCGTCCCTCCCTCTCCTCCTCCTCTCACTTACAGATCTTTCCAGCACTCCGCCATGCCTGCTTGCTGCCCTGACCCACCCTCCGAATGTGATTTTTTATTTCACTTCTTGGACAATATTTTCAAATAATCATATCAAATTTTCTATTTTAACAACACAATTTGGAGATAATTTTCAATTGGTTGACTCTACCCCGAGGTAAGAACCGGGTATTCGCTGTCGGGACGCATGGGACCCGCAGGCATGCTCGGATGTTTTCGTCAATCTGCATCTCCAGGGCAAGAAGGACTTCTGCTCCGCTGGTCGTCGTCGATGACGAAAATATGATCGAAGGAGGAGGAGGAGGAGAAGGAGGAGAAGGAGAAGGAAGGCGATGATGATAACGAGCAAGAGGAAGAGGACGAAGGAGAGCCTGAACATTGCATAATGCAGGAGGAGGGGGATTGGGACAAAGGGAACAGTTCATGAAAAGTAGTAGAGTTTTTCACGGAGAGCTCATGAGAGTCCATGGACGAAGTTGAGGCAGAGAGCAAGCAGAGAGAGTGAGCGCGCGCGCGCGTATCTTGAATGAAGTGAGACAACCTTGTCTGCTTGTGAGTGTGAGCATGCTACACAGGCGATCGGAAATGGAGGAGGGGACATTCCTTCGCCTCCTCCCTGCCTTCGTGCTGCTATGCTGCATTCATTCGACCAGCTTGCTGGAGCAGAGGGCCATGTCGCCATTGCAGGTCCTTGAACGCGCACAGGAACGGCCTGCCGCGGTCGTGAGGCTCCGTGGAGGGTCGCAGGAAATGGGATCCAGTAAGATTGCGGGAGAGATCGGTCAGGGGGTGATGGCTCCGGTGCAGGCGACTGGAAATGCGCGAGCTGCGGGGGCTCGAACTTCAGAAGGAGAGACAAGTCTGCAGTGAGTGGCTGTGGGCAAGTTTTCACTTTGCTGCAGGTGCCACAAGTGCGGGTATGACAGGTTCTTCTCCCCGATGAAGAAGGACCTGATGAGTTCGAGGGGACAAGGTAGAGCGACGCTCGTTCTCATGGGAAGGATTCTCATGATTGTGCAGCCAATGAGGACCTGTCGACGCAGATTGAGAGGGGCAGGCTGATTGCGTTGGAGGAAGCGAAGTTCGGGAGGAAGTTCACGGTGGAGGATCTGGATGCAGAGAGCGAGAGGAGGGGCGAGGAGAAAGCTGAAGACAGTGAGACGAAGACGGGAGGAGGGCGTCGTGTGCCGTCGTCAAGTAGAGTTGAAAGAACGGCGGATGTCAGAGCATCAAGTGCAGCCGACAGTCACCGGGGTAACCCAAAAGGTTCCGAGTGTTGAAGTCATGTGCGGATGTTGAAGTTTTGCCTCTAGTGACGCTGTTGGAGCTTTGCAAGCACCTCTCTTTGAATGAACCATCATACGCGACGACGAAAGAAGGTCCTGATCATGAGCCGAGGTTTGCCTGTCAGGTATGCGCCTCGAGCGTTTTCTAGAGCTCTCGAGCTCTGTTGCGGAGCAGGTTCCTGCCCTAGAGTAGTCTGTGGGGCATGAATGCTTGCTCAACTTGGCTGCTGCTTGCTAGGATGATTGTAGTGATGAGCTGTTTGATGAACATAGTGATGAGCTCTTTGATGGATGTAGTTTTGATCGCTTCGATGGATGTAGTGTTGATGTCTTTGGCAGCGATGCGATGATGGCGACGGGACAATCGCTCATACATTGGCAGGTGACTGCAGGGCGAGTTGTCCATACAGTGAAAGATGCGCAAAACAAGCGGAGCGCCGAGAGGGAAGCCAGCAAGCTCGCGATAGCAGGGATCAAACTCCTTTACGCCGATCAGCTGAAAAATGTCAAGAAGTGGGCGAGCAGAGAGGACGATTCGAGATTCGGCAATGAGAGGGAAGGAGAGCTGGAAGGAGATGTGTCTGGAGCTGCGGAGGAGGACAGTAGGTTGCTGCTGTCACCTGTAGCTAACGCGAAGCTGTCACAAGATCAGTCGCAGACTATCAAGAGCATGTTGAGAGGTACCACGTGGGCCGATGACGAGTTGCTGGCTCCATCCGAGAGCCAGGGGTGCGGGGAAGAGCAAAGGAGACAGGAGGAGGAGAGGGGGGGGGAGGGGCGGAGGGAAGGGGAGGAGCAGCAGCAGAGAGGGGATGGAGAGAATGACAAGCATTCAGAATCTTGTACTCAAGCACTTGAACCTGTCATCTCCATGTTCGATGATGATGATGAAGGGAAAGACGGTGAGGTCGCCTGTGTTGTGAGCTTCAAGTGTCCTGACTTCCTTTCCTGCTAGAGCAATACAAGTTGAATGACGTCAGCCTGCAGTCAGACGAGAAGCTCGCGGAGGCTCCTGGAGGTTGCGATGGAGGGACGTGTAGGGAGACGGACGAGATGGAATGCGAGGAGGAAGGAGAGGAGAAGGAGGCGCTAGAAGGAGCAACTGGAGGCAAGGAGGCGATGACGATGGACGACAAGAGGGATGGGGGTGGGGACGGGGAACTTAATCCCAAGGGATCTACGGGGGGGAGAGTGGTTGAAGGGCAGGAGCAGGGAGTGCGAGCAGGGAAGCAGACAGAGCACGAGGCGCCAGCAGGGCTCACAGAGCAGGAAGTGGCTGTGGATTCTGTACAGATAGTGGGGGCAGGCCAGGGAGGAATGTGTAATGTGCCGATGCTGAAGGAGGAGACGATGGAGGATGAAGTTGTCGCAACTCATCAACTTCATCTAGCAAGCAGGGAGGTGGGGCAGAGGGAGGTGAGAAACGAAACTGCAGCAGCAGAAGCTGTTGCAACAGCAGGAGGTGAAGGGGGGTCGAAGCAGGAGGCATGTGCGGGCAGGAAGCAATGCTGGTCCAGGAGGACGGGAACATGTCATGGTGGGAGAGGAAGAGCGTGTGGCAGAGGGAGATGGAGAACAGGCTCGCAAGCTTCCGTAAGAGGAATCACGAGATGAGCGAGGGAAGGGAGGAGGTCAACCAGACCTCCTCCTCCAACTCCAGCGAGGCCTTCAACTCAACAAGTCCTCGGAGAGCCGCAGCGGCAGAGTTGCGGAAGAAAGAAAAGAAGAAGAGGACGTGCGAAGGAGGAGCAGGTGGGGCGGACGCACACAATGTTACCAAGAAAGCGCCTGCCGTACAGCTGTTGGTGGATGGGGATAACAGCGGAAAGATTCTCAAGGTGAAGAATCCTTGCTACTTTCCAAGCTGTTCTCCTTGCTGCTCATCCCTCCTCTCCTCGTCTTCCTTCCTCTTCTTCGTTGATCTTGCCCGTTGCCCGTGTCAACTTGCTGCCCCGTTTTGCTCTTCTTACCTTCTTGCTTGCCTCTTCTCCTTCTCCTCCCTTCGTAGTTTCTTTGGTTTATACCAATCTCTCCTCTTTCCTTGAGCTTGCGGCTGATCCTTGCGCTACCAGATAATCAGCAAGTGGTACCAACAGCCCTCCTCCTCTATCCGCAAGAAGCATCCCGTGCAAGTGTTTTGCAGCAGACACTACGATGGAATGATGCCGAACCCACTGAAGTGATAACTCTCTTCCTCTCTCCTCCTTCCTTTCTCCCTCCCTCTCTCCTCCCTCCCTCTCTCCTCCCTCCCCCTCTCCTCCCTCCCTCCCTTCTCCTTCCATCCCTCCTTCCATCCCTCCCTCTCTTCACCCTCCCTCCTTCTTCCCTTCTACTCTTCACTTCTCTCCAAATCAACTCCTCGCTCATCGTCTTGTTTCAGCTTCCATCGTGCCAGCACAGGCCTGCCAGAAGCAGCCGATCATGAGATCTCGTTCTTTGCCGGAAGGTGAGGAAGAGAGGAGCAGGAGCATGGGGGGGAGGACGAGGACGAGGACGAGGACGAGGACGAGGACGAGGACGAGGAGCAGGAAGGTCTAACACTGGCTGCAGGAAATGCGAGGAGTGGAAGAGGACGGAGACATTCGTGCTGGTCATCTCGAGGTGCGACTGGAAGCCACTTGTGCTCCCTCACTCTCCCTTGCAGGGACGATGCCATAGAAAACACCGTCCAGCTCTTAAGAAGGTCCCTCACATCCCCCATCCCCCTTCCTTCGCTCCTTCGCTCCCTTCCTTGCTCTCTCACTTCCTCCCTTCCAACCACCCCCCCCCCCCCTCCAATCCTTTCCCTTCCTTCTCCCCACTCCCCTCCATCATTTGCATGCCCCTGCTTCCTCGGCCATGATTTTTCCCTGCTCCTTGTTCTGCCCCTCCTCCCTCCACCTCTCCTGCATACACATTCTGACTTCAACTATCGCCTGCGGCCCCCACCCCAACTCCCTACTCCCCTTCTCTTCCTTGAGTGACGGAGGGAGCAGGAGTGGAGTTGCTTCTGCCTACGTCACTCCAGTTGCCATCACTTCGAGAGAAAATCTCAACAACATTGTGAAGCAGAAAGTTTTCGATAGCATACAATGAGATCATGAGGAGAAAATGATGATGATGAGGAGGAGGAGCAGGAGGAGGAGGATGGGGATGAGCGGGGAGGGAGCAGAGCTATAAAAGGAGCAGGAGAAGCAGGAGGAGCAGGAGGATGTCTCTGGAGAGCGAGCGGTTTGGCTGCAAGGACAAGGAAGAGACCGAATAAACAGGAAGGAATTTGCTCGTCGAGATCATCAGAAGGAAATCACGAGGATGCATCCTGCAAGTCGTCATGCTCGCACTGCTCTCTCTCGATCAGCCCTCACCGTCTCCTCTTCCCTTCTCCACCCCTCCGATGATCACTTGCGCTCTCTGCCAAGGAATGAGTCGAGTCAGGACGATGGTGAGAGATTGCATGCAACTTTGCCGAATCCGTGCATCTTAGCATCAGCATCAGCATCATCATCATCATCAGCAGCAGCAGCAGCAGCAGCAGCAGTATCGCCATCATCGAGATTAGAGACATCAGATTTTAAAAACCAGCGATGATCTTCAAATCACATTCAAGCACACCATCGCCTTCATCCACGTCCTCTTCTCCTTTACCTTCTCGTCCCACCAGAAGCAGCCGCACGAGAATTGATGAAACACATAGAGGGGGGCAGTTTCCTCCTGGTCCTACAGCTCAGCCGCAGCAGGTCGAACATCTCCACACTACCTCTGACAGCTCGTAACTCTGTCGCCTCTCCGATATCGGCATCGACATCGGCGGGGTGACCAAGCTGCCGCTGAGCGTGAAGTTCAGAGGCGAGCAAGGAAAGGAGGTTGAGGGATGTACTCTTTGATGTTGAACACTGTCATCTTAGATTTTCTGTTGCTCAGGCATACCCCCGTCTGTCCCATAGACCAAGGTGAGAAACAAGAAGGTGGAGGGAAAGGGGAAAAGAGATTGGAAGGGAGGAGATGGAACGAATCGTGTGGACTGACCTGTCCGTCTTCTGAGATTCTCAACAGCCATGTCTCCATCCCCGACACTTTATACAACTCCTCCCCAGCCTGCAAAGAGACGTTCAACCAATCTGTTATATCTTAAAAGAGCCCCCTCCCAAATTAGCGTGATCAGTTGAGACGTGAAGCAAACAGCACATGAACAACTCAAAGGTTACAACTGAGATGGAGCCCCTTCGACTCTATCCCTCCTCACTCCTTCGAACCCTGCCCTCCTCACTCCTTTCCTCCGATTCCAAGTCAACCATGAGCGCAATCAGAAATCCAACGGCGGAATCTCTAGTTATCTACACATACTCCTCGCCTGCAAAGACTTTCTTCTTTACATTGCCACATGTCTTCTTACCGCATTCATGGCAACAACGGAATTGTTTATCCCCGCTAGCACCATCGAAGGCAGGACAAACGAAACAAAGCAGCTGCGTTGACATCCAGAACAAAGAACATCAGAGGAAAGCGGTCTAGCAAACACATCGAGGTACCCGTAGGTTCTAAAGTCCAACTCATCTCCGAACTGGATCCTACGGACTCTTTCAAACTTCACATAATTCACAATCTGCAGCGCTGTCAACGGAATTCATCTGGAGCAGACGAGGATAAAACAACTTCAACGGTGTCGTTGGCTTTGCTCAGGACAATCTCATCTTCCTTCTGCCTGCAGTCACTGTGAGAACGGCCGACCCTACATGATCAAGAACAACACAAACTTGTTAAGTTCAAGCCACCAGATGCCAGTCTCGACTTGCACCATCCCTCTCTCCTTCTTCTTGGTGAAGTCCCAAACAAACAGCTAGAAAGTTCGTGAGCATCCTTTGTTCCTTTCTTGCTGCTTCGTCTCACCATCCCATCGTTTCCAGCGCTGATCAGTGCATTCCTGGAACATAACCTCACTCTCCAACCTCTTCAAGTGAGTAGAACTACCTGTCATGAGTCCAAGACACATGTGCAATCCAGTCCTTGTGACCATGAAAGACATTCAGAATCTCGTGCTTGTACTTGACACCGTCCTTGGTTGACACCTCGTACAACTGAGCTGTTGTCGCCGTGAGGCGGAAGCCAAGGCCAACGTTTGTCATGGCATGCACAACCTGTCATATCTCTGCTCCCACTGGCAATCAGGATGGATGGGTGAGATGAATTCCCCTCCTTGATCTGAGCACAAACAGAGTACACCCATTGCGATTGCTCCTTGATCACACACAGAGGCTTGCACTCCTTCATACCATCGAAACTTGCTCTGTAGAAGACCAAGTTATCAAACACCATCTCAGTTCTCTTCTTGCACCCTCACCGGAGCTTCTCGTATGAGAACAACGTCACCATTCCATTCTCGCTCCCACACACCAGGAAGGGTTCTTCCACCACCATGCACCTGCGGCAAGCATCTGAGCTGCTGCTGACATCGAGCATAGCAACCTGACGTATCCTCCCTGCATTCTCAGCGGCAATGAGATCGCCCTGCAGCACGTCTCAGGGCGGAAAGGGATGCTCCCCTGCCCTCACCTCTTCTTCCCTACTCTGTCGCTGAAGCAAGTGTCCCTCGCCTTGAAGAGGTTCTTCCACGTTGTCAGAGCAGTCCTCTCTGGTTCCCCCCGCCAGACGAACGGAGGAGAGTGGCTGCCGCAGAAGCCCCTCCACAGGCTATCCTCATTCGCCGCGTTCTTCCAGTACGAGCACACCAAGGCACACCGGGGGGTGTCGTGAGGGCTCAGTTGCGAGAAGATCTTGACGTAGATGTCTGTTGATAGGGCAGTCCAGCTACATGACGACGACGCTGCCATCCTTCGAACCTACTCCCCTCATCAACGTCCTTGACATGCTCAACAATACAAGCTGCAGAGCATGCTCTCATCTGCTCTTACTGCCCGACAACGTTCACTCCTTCCCTTCTTCCTCCTCCTTCGATTCCGCTCCCTGCTCTCCCTGCTCTCCCTGCTCTCCCTGCTCTCCTCCCTCTCCTTCCTCTCCTTCCTCTTCTCTCCCCTCCTCTTCCTCCATTCCTTCCCTCCCCCCGTCTCCTTCCCCTCCTTCCGTCTGTCGCCTTCAACATTTTTCCCGCCATCTGTCACATAAAAACCTGATGCACAGCTGAACTGAACCGATTTGACTCACCAGACTGGATTCAACCGATTAAATTCGCATGCAATTTCCCAACGGCCGCATGGCCCGACAGTAGTGGACTGAGGAGAAGTAGCATGCGACGGTACATGGGGAAGGGAAAGAAGCTGGAGAAAGGAATGGACAAGAGAGGGAGAGAGGAGGGAGGGGGGGGAGAGGAGGGAGAGGAGGAGAGATAGAGTACGTAGCCTGAGAACTTCCAAGGGCTGCGATGGAGGGAGAGAATAGAAGGGGAAACTCTGAGAGAATAACTTTCATACGCAGCATATTTGATTGCTAACTTCTCTTGCCAGAAGAAACATCCTCATGCCAGCCTGATGGAATTGGGCCATCCCGGCATACATCCATAGTCACAACACACGAGAAGTTTCCCTCTTCAGCTCTCCTTCCTACTTCTCCTCCCCCTTCCCAAGAGACGGTACACGGTCATGCCTGGCTTCATGCGGAAGCTGCGGGATATCCATCGGGGAAGGCCCATCAGCGCCAAGTTAGCTCCAGCTGAGCCTCCGCAGGAGTTTCTCAGCTCGCGTCCAATGAGCGCGCAGGTACCAGCATCGCGCTTCAAGGCAAGAGACAAGAACCGGAGCACAGCACCTCCTAGGAAGGAGGAGAAGATCAGGAGGAGGAGGAAGAGGATTTCTTCGAGAGACCAACTCAGCTCAACGCTCAAGGAGATCAGGAGCTCGTCTCCTCAGAGTGGCACCAGCGAAGTCAGCCTTGGGGAGAGCGTCAGCACCGTGCAGGAGGCAGAGAGCATGTCGGACTTGGACGATGAGTTGCTGGACACGTCGGAACTGGCGGAGGATGAGACTGAAGATACGGACTCGACCGCAGACAGCCAAGTAAGAGGAGGAGAGGAGGAAAAGGAAGAGGAGGCAACGTTGCAAGAGAACGATCGGTCGAGGATCGCGGAGTGGGAGGAACAGCTCCGGCATGAGCTTGAAATCTTTCTGAAAAAGCCCGTGAGGAATGTGGATCCTACCACTCCTCTTGGGAAGAGAATGAGGCTGGTGAGGGTCGGACAGCCGCTGGATGAGAGATGGGAGATGGAGCTCAGGGCAAGGCAGGGGATTGAGATCAGGAGGCTACAGAACAAGAGCCCGCAGCTGGCGATGCTTATGCGAGGCTTCCTGTGGTTTCAGAGCTTCATGGACTTGCGGTGGAGGAAGCAGTTCTTCTACGTGACCCCCGACTGCGTGCTCCGGTGTCGAGCCTCCGCCAACCAGCCCGACGTCCCCCAGGACGTGGAGCTGAAGATCTTCAACGTGGTGGACATGAGCGACAGGCTGATAAAGTCGGAGGAGTACCTGGTGTCCTTCTCGACCACCAGCTACAAGTTCAACGAGTTCTTGCCGCACCATGAGAAGACGTTCAAGCTCGTCACTAGAGAGACTCCTCAATCGTCTCCTCAGGTGCTGCTGCTGCTGCTGCTGCTACTGCTGGCCCCCAGACTCTAGCCCCCTCCTTCCTCTCCTCACTCCTATTTCTTTCTCCTCTTCTTGCAATGTCTTCTACAAAGTTTATGTCTCCTTCTGCTTCTCCTTCTCCTTCTCGATCTTGCTCACTGCCGCTTGCACAGGTCCGTATCTTCTATGCTGAGACTCTGCAAGAGAAGCAGGGTTGGCTCCAGTTCCTGAATGATCTACAAGAGAAGCAGGAAGCCAAGTTCAGGCATGACAAACACAGTCACCCTGATCATTCCATTCAGCCTTCCAACACCTCTTCTACCACCGTCACAGCCCAGAACTTCGGCCATCGTCCACAGACCAGCCCGGCCTATACAAGTCGAGTCGTTCACAGGGTAGACCCAGCGGTCTCGGCGTCTCATCGGGAGACTCTTGCAAGGGACGTGCTCGACCAGCTTGCGGGTTACAGGAGCCAGCGGGGAGATGTGACGTCAGGCCGTGGCGAGGACAGACATGACTGTGATGCCTCGAAAGACAAGCTCTGCCGGCAAGCCGCGAACTCTCCTGCTGAGCGCCGGGAGGACCAGGGGAGAGACGCGCTGGTGGCTAAGATACAGCAGATGCGGGAGGAGCAACTGATGATCAAGAAGAGAGTGCAGGATCTCATCTCACACATACAGACTCCATCATCATCTCCATCCATGGAGCTCTACTCTCAGTGGCTCATCAAAAGAAACTCGCGGAGGTCAGCACCTTCCAGACCTAGCACGGGGTTGTCACATGTCTAGTAAAAGCAGAGAAAGAGATTCTCACAGGCTGGTCCCAGACCTCGCGGTAGCTAGTGATCAACCCATCGCTCCCTCTCGTCAGGATCAGCTTGCCCGTCAATGGCACCTGCACACATTCACTTCAAACCTCGCTGACCGCTGGTACATGCAAGGTGGTAGTTACCTTTGGCTTTAGGATGGGGATGTTGAACATGAGCTGCTCCTTGAACTTGAAGGTTGCTCCGTCCTTATTGACCTGGATGTCTCCGTCGAGCTCCATCTTACCTGAATGAAAATATGCTCAGGAAGAGCAGCAAAGAAACATTGCGCTGATCGGTGCTCACTGTAATCGTTCTGGAAGAGCTTCGCCGTTCCATCCATCCTTCAACCAAACACCTCAACAACAACCTCCTGGCTTGCATCATCATCTTTCTCACCATTTCTCGAGCGTGTAAGTGTCAATCTCGTCCGTGAATGTGCACTTCTCATCGTACAGAGATCGAGTGAGCGCGCCCGTCACCTGTTGAATCTTACAATCTGCGCTGCACAAACGAACTTTTGGGTAACCATGAACTGATTCTTGACAACGTCCTCCCGGAGTTTGCTCTTGAATTCCTCGTCCGAGATGTCAATCAGCTTCTTGTCCTCACTCCTTGCGGTCTGCTCAGCTCCTACCTGCCAACATGCCTCACTTACAACCCCCGCAGCTCTCAGCCGTCAGCATGCGCCTTCAGGAAGCATGTGGACGCTGAGGCTTCTGCTTACCTTGCTGGCAAACCCTGCAAGTGTGAATCCGGCGTTCACCAAGGTCGTCTGCAGAAATTTCCTCCGTTCGCATCCCTTCCCTGCGTTCGCCGCTCCCATCTCCATCCTTGCTGATCGCAAACCTGCAAAGCCATGAGCCATGGAGGCATTCTTTTCGCTTCTCTCCTCACACCTGCACTACAACCAAGAGGAGCCATGGCTCCTCCACTGAAGCCTGCACACTCCTGCGCCATCGCCAACAGAAGCCCAGCTGCCAGCGCCGCCATTGGGCGCGGCGCCATTCTCCCTTTAGATGTGACTGGGCAATAGCCCCATAGCCACAAAGATAAGACAAACTCCGAGGCAGTCCTGAGTGCCAGCGGCTCAGCTGCGGGGGCCGGCTGAAGTCACTCGGAGGCCCCGGGCCGGCGGCTAGTTCCGACAGTGACCGGAGCCCGGGTGAAATTCCGGGCAGTCAGGGTCCGTTTGCAAATGTCTGGCGGCTGTCCGTACGAGTCACTGACGGTAAAGTCGTACAAGACTCAGTCTGATTGAATCGTTTATGGACAATAAAAGTTTGCTAATAGCAAGACTGACACACGTCGTTAGGAGGTCTGACAACAAACCGGCGATTGTTATCACTATGATACAGCCTCTAGCCCAGCATGACATCCTGAGGATGGAGAAAATGCCATCGGGCTGGGGTGGATGGAACTTTAAGGTGGCAGAGGAAGAAGAAGAGATTAGCTCTGTGGGCTCAATCCCATCGCGTGTTCTGGGGCTCCATTTCTGAAAGCGGCTGACCAGTAGTCTGCATATGAAGATGAGAACAGCGGCACTGCTATCCGTTTTACAGGATCACCTGCAAAGAGTGGGGCGAAGTCGAAGAAGCCCTCGGGTCGATCACGGGCCTCCTGCTCAGGGTGAGCGATGCAGATTCTTGACCATCATTCTCTACCTTGTTGCTGACTGCGGGTGGTGAGGGCGTTGTGGATACGAAGAGCGAGAGAAGGAAGAGGAGGAGAAGGGACGAGGGATTCAGAACAGAGGAGAAAAAGGGGAGGAACGTCAGAACAGTTTCAAGAGAGCAAGGCACAGGTACGGATACCTTGTGCTATAGCAGACGAGATTTTCTCCCAACCTGACAGCACCGTCAAGATCTGTGAGCTGCGAGCACGGGAGGCAAGGCAGACTTGATTCGAGCAGATTCAAGGTGATCTCATCCCAATCATCCACAATCAGAACCTTTGCGGGGGGTCAGGAGCGACGGTGAGATTTTCCCTCCTCACCGGGAGAAAACGGAAAAGCGAATCCATCGGAGAGCTTGCCACGATCGGCACAGAGCCCATTAGCAACGATTCCCATGTCCCTGACCATTATCTTACATAATTCTGGCAAACCGCCCGAACCTTCTTGTCCTCACCCCCCCCCCCTCACACACACATACACATAACAAAAACTCCTCTGCCCCGTTCGCCCTCCAATCTCTTCTTACTGTGCGTGTCTAGGCCGTTGCCTGCAGGGCATAAAACGAATCTGTGCCTGCGCTCATCGCATCAGGCGCGTCAAGGAAAGGAGAGATGGCATCTATGAAAGCTGCCGCACCTTGCTAGATCCCGCAGATACTCCTCGTAAGGCAAGTTGGAAGCCAGCGTCACGAATGATTTCCCCTTGAGGACTACAACATGGTGGTGAGATGAGGAGAGGAGAGGATGTTGTCAAAAGTACAAGGAGAAAAGGGAGGGGGAGGGGAAGGAGGGACCAATGGGGCGGAGGAGGAGAGAGAAAGATTGTCAAGAATTGTACTTTGCAAAGCTCGTTTCCTATCCCCACTCGTCTGCTCGTTGATGTTCACGTACAACCACCCTGACACTTCATCTCACTGTACTCTCTCCAACCTCATCCCCCCTCACCGGTTTTCTGACCATCAGCATATTGTCTGCGGACGCGCGAGACCTGCGACGAGCCGCAAACTTGACCAGGATGAAACACCGCAAGGAGCAGCCCTTACCGCCTCTATGTCTCCATGGGGATACTGGCGGTTTGCCAGACCTGCATGCACAGCCAGTGAGCGATCCGACACTTGTCGGCAGAGCTTGTCAACCAATCGGTAGCGGATGCAGCTTCTGATGATGTGAGAGGTCAGGGTTCTGTGCGAACCAAGCGATGATGCGCCTATGGTGCACTTTGAGAACGAACAATCGCCCCCATTGACTTCATTACGGATCGTCGAGGTACACGTCGAACGCTCCCGGTGCTCCTGCGTCACTACGGCAAGGAGTGAGCCGTTCACCAAGGGGCAGCACAAGGAAGACCTGCAGTGTGTAACAAGGATGTATCTATTGCGGATGAAGGGATGTTTGTTCACGAAGAAGTCCTCAAGAAGCAGGGCGTTCACGTACACCACCGCACCCTGAAGACACGATCAAGACCCTCGTCAGCCAGCAACTTGGATGTGGCAGTAGAAGACACAGATTCTGCCAGGAGGATCTGTTCGCTGCAACTGACCTCGAAGACATCTTGAGGGTGAAACCGACAGTTTACTCCATCCAGGGCGTCGTGCAGGAGATCCGCAAAAGATCGGAAAGTATCGCACGACTGGCAGCATGTTCAGTACGAGGGTGTTGTGCAGTCTACACACACCATGTAAGGATCGCTCGACTTGCTCGATGAGATGTCACGGCAGGTCTGCATGTTGGAATCCGAAGCGTGCTTCGAGTCCTTGGCCTGCAAGTACCAGTAAAACGAAGAAACCAGGCAAGGCAAGGGATAACCAAGGCTGTATCTTTCAGAAGCCTTTGAGAAAGTCGGAATGAAGCCAGAGAGGCTCCCTTTTCACCCAGAGTGTTGAGCGAGAGAGATGCTCCAAAGATGCAGTCTGCTGCCACCAGGTACTCGTCGCTCCCGGCGAGCCCCTTTGACAGGGCGTCTCCGACTGCGCTTGCGAACACCTGTCCGCAGCGATGGCTCAGAGGCTGCTCACGAAGATCAGACGTTCCAACCTCAAGTGCTCGTCCCCACTGTCCCCTCCCATGAAGCGCCAGCCCCTCGGTGCATCGGTCCTTAGTGCTCCCGTTTCTGCCACCATTGTTACCCTCGTACCCCCACGGGCCAAGACAGGACATGTCCCAGCTCTCCTCGACCAATGCATACCTATCATCTTTTCTCCTGCTTTCTCTCCCTCCTCCTCTTGTTGCTCCCCCTGCTAGCATCGTCGCAACGACGGCCGCCACCAGCCATGCTCGCCCTATACTGGTCCACCATGACATGGTGGTACAACACAGAAAAGGATCCGCGCATGCTGGAAGACCGGATGATCGGCCACAAGAAAAAAACATTTTACACATTCTTTTTTTGTTTTCTTTGTTTTTTTGTTACACGTTGAAGCAGAAAGGGGCGCAAGAACTCTGTTCCAGCAGATATTGGCATTTTAATTTTGAAATTTTATTGACATAATTTGTAAATTGATCTTCATATTTCAAGATTGTTAATTCTCAATTGTGTCCAAATCCAAAAATCCTGCCAAGATAACCTAAATACAGAAATGTGGTTGTACTGTGTTGTACCTGAGCATCAAAACTTTATTATATTTGTTCTTCAGAGATTTGGATATTCTTGCAATCCCAATAGAATTTATAATTATTTTTAATATTTGCTATCAGGCTTGTTGTACCGTTGCACACATCATTTCTAACCCACGACTCTTTGCTCTACTAGACCCGTCAATGATAGGGGCAAAGACTATCAGAAGGGTGGGTGTAGAGGTGACACATATAAGCTGTTTCTCACCCCCTGGAAAGGAGAGATTGTACCTAGAAAGGAATTTGTGCTACAGATATATATATTTAAAACTCTTCAATATTGAAATCCTCTTCACGGTAACAAATCTGTACTGATCATGACGTGGATGACTTTTTAAGAAAACTGTTTTAGCTTTTACTGGTACACGGGGGGGAGGCGTAGATTTTAATTTTAAAACGAGTCGCCACGCGTCCTCTCCTCGCTGTATGCCGGACACTACTCCCTTGCAAACTGATAGAGCACTGATTCGTTCTGCGCTCCCTCCATGCTCTCCCCGCCCCTCCACTAGATGTTCCTCTCTCCTCGATCTCTTCTTCTCAGCCCATTCCCGCCTCTGTTGTGAAATGACTTGGACCTCCGTGAAATCGCGGATTTCGGAACAGTGTTGACTTTGTTGGTTTGCCGATTGCTGACATACTGATTTGATATGTTCGCTGGTCTCGTTGGAGCAATCTTGGTGCCAATCTGCAATAATAACTTGTTCATTTGAGGTGTCTCATTTTGGTTTTATTGCTTTTTGATTGCATCTCGCTTTTCTCAAATCGTGTGAAGTGATAGTTACACTCTCTTCCTGATTATATGAACTCTCCTCCATCGCAACAATCGAGCTTCGATATCATTTTTTGCTCACTTCAAACTATTCATCGCTTTTGATCTTGACTCATGTTGTTTCAGTTTCCGAAACCATGTCTAAGCCTGTTATGACTGTCTGCATCACCGGAGCCGCTGGCCAGATTGGCTATGCTCTCCTCCCCCACTTGTGCTCTGGCAAGACCTTCGGTCCCGACCAGCCCGTCAAGCTCCACCTTCTTGATCTCAACATCGAGGGAGTTCAGACCGCCCTCAACGGAGTCAAGATGGAGCTCGAGGATGCCACCTACCCTCTCCTCAAGGGTGTCGTCTGCACCGGAGACGCCAAGGTGACCCAGTAGCGCGTTTTCACATGCATAATCTGAATTCTGGCTGCTCAGGTTGCCTTCACTGGAGCTGATGCCGTGATCATGCTCGGAGCCTTCCCCCGCAAGGACGGTATGGAGCGCAAGGATCTCCTCGAGAAGAACTGCGGTATCTTCAAGGAGCAGGTGATCTAGCAAAGGCAACACCAAGTTTGAGTTGTTATGACTGTTGACTGCCAGGGAGAGTTGCTCAACACCGTTGCTAGCAAGACTGTCAAGGTTTTGGTTGTCGGAAACCCTGCCAACACCAACTGCTTGATCGCTGCCGAGTGCGCCCCCAACATCCCCAGGGGTAAGTGAACCATGCTCTTTCATCCTGCTCCTTCCTTCGAATTCCTTCCCCCTTGCTAGCGTTGAGATGGCACTGATCCTCGTCTTCTCAGAGAACTTCTCTGCTCTCACCCGTCTGGACCACAACCGTGCTATTGCCCAGCTTGCCATCAAGGCCTCCGTTCCCGTCGAGCAGGTGCAGAACTCCATCATCTGGGGCAACCACTCCTCCACCCAGTACCCTGACATCAACGCTGCCACCATCAACGGTGAAGGACAATCTTGTTAGCTCCTCCTCGTGCTCACATTTCACTGCAGGCAAGAAGGCCAAGGAGGTCGTCAACAACGACGAGTGGTACAAGAACGAGTTCATCCCCTGCATCCAGAAGAGAGGAGCTGCCATCATCGCTGCCCGCAAGCTCTCCTCTGCCCTCTCTGCTGCCCAGGCCATCTCCGACCACATGCACGACTGGTTCCTCGGAACTCCCGCTGGACAGTTCGTGTCCATGGCTGTCGACTCCACTGGCAACAAGTATGGCGTGGCTGATGGCCTTATTTATTCCTTCCCTGTCTCTTGCAGGTAACAGACATTGACATGTAGCTCGACCTGTGTGTAACTTGGTTTTTCACAGCAACGGCAAGTGGACTATCAAGGAGGGTCTTGAGATCGACGATTTCTCCAAGGAGAAGATGAAGGCCACCGAGCAGGAGTTGACGGATGAGAAGAAGACTGCCATGGAGATCCTCGGCAAGTAAACGCGTTGTGTAAGTCTAGTCGTTGCAAATTCAATAAATTTTTTTGAGAACATTCCAAGAGTCCACTGATCTCATATTTCAAATTTAACATCACATTTTCATAGGGCATGATGATTGCTTCTATTGTACTCAACCACGTTTGAATCTGACATGTGTTTCATCCCGGTGCCTGTAGCATGTAGTCGGACCATGACCTATCTCTCCATAAGTCGCCAGGGAATGACATCCTTCGGCAGTGCACCTGCACTTGGTCATGTCAAGTAGACCGATCTGTTTGTGAACCTTCGATTCTTCACGTTGGAATGACTCTGTTTCTTGTGTAAGACGCAATACAGAGCCTGAAATGTTCACGGATCATCACTGGCACCAAGTCAACAGCCACCGCCTGCAAACCTTCTTGCTCCCAGGCACTCCGAAGGAGGCGTGCTTGATGCATCCAGACTCCTGACACATGCTGCAGGCATGAATAAGTTCGGTTCCCGAAGTGCCAGTGTCCATACAGACCTTCCCACTCCAAACTGCCAGCCGATGCCGGCTGGACGATGCAGGGAGCAGAAGTACATTTTCTCTGCACCAGCACCATCAGCACGCTCTCGACTGGTAGGGAGCAGTCGGGTACCAGTTGCCTGAGTGACGTTGCCTGTAGGATGCAGCAGCTGTATGAAGGTCCCACGCCGAAGGCATCTGGAGATCGCAGCGAGTTCATTTCGATGGAAGAGAGCAGGTGAGGCGGAGGGGACCCGCTTCTGTGTTGACAGAGGTGCGTCCGGAGGCAGGTCTCGCCTTTCTTCCTGTGCTTTGAACAATGGATCATCTTCCTACTTTGTTCTGTGCCGTAGGATGCTGTACTTGAGCAACCCGGTTCGCAGCAGCTGAGCCGTGCGGCGTCAGCCGAGGCATCGCAACACTAGGAGCTCTCACCGCGCACAGTTCAAGTTCACGAATCCTGCCTGCCTGTGCTTGTGGCAGGACAGAGGCACACAGCCTGTGTCAAGACCTCACTGGGCGTACAAGATAGCATACTTGGCACAACTTACCTTGAGGGCCGAAAGAGGCTCTGAGCGTGCAACCTTCGGGGTATCGACATGTCTGGGAAGCGGTTTCTTTCCTCTGGCAACCGACCGACAGGTTTCAGAGGAGCGCAAGTGTCTGCATGAGAGAGTCTCACGCGAGATACTTGCTCTTCATTACTTGCATTCCCTGCACCCGGGGGTTGACTTGAGCCTGAAACGTTCTTGATGAGCGTGGTAAACCATGCAGGTGAAAAACTGATAGACCTGAAGCCGTCGAGGTTGAACTAGGCGCTGCTCGTTGAGCTCCAACAGACACCAATCGCGATGCAGCTGCACGGATTCATCACAACAAAGGTCTCCTCCCACTTCGCTGCACCACGAGTGACGTTCTGGGTCACAGGGCTGCTGAGGTTGGAGGCATGACAAGAGATTGCAAGATGGCTGCGAGGGTCAACCCGAGAGCACGGGCCTTTCACTACACTCGGCAGGAGAGAATGGCTGCTCTGAAGCAGTTCGCCTGCTGGTGCTGGTCAGACTTCGCACTGGACAAGGCAGGGCAACGTTGATCGGCGTGATTGAGCAATCTTGTGACGGCCCGCTCACCAGCGGTCGCTCCTTCAAGCTGCTGGGCATTTGATACGGCTTCGAAGGGCAAGAGGAGGGAGCAGAGGAAGACAAGCACGGCAAGTGAAGAGGAGAAGTTTACGCCCATTCGCAAATCCTGCATGGGCTTCCATTCCGTAGGTTCACATGGTTCGCTACAAGACAAACGAACTCAGAAGCCATCGTTGCAAGCGCGCAAGAAACTCGGTTGGCTGTCTAACATTCTTACCAGCCCGTCATGCCTCTGCTTTCAGACGTTCTTCGCAGGGTCTACCAACGCTGCTCTCACGATGCTTATCGCTACCTCTGATTTGTTCCTTGTCAATCGAAACTATCCGTTTGAGCCTTGCGAGCTTGTTTCTCTGTCCTGCCTGTTGCTACGTCTTCTGCTCCTCCTGATCCTCTGCTCCTGCTCTTGCTGCTCTGCTCCTCCTCCTCCGCCTGCTCCACCTCCTCCGCCTGCTCCATCTCTGCCTGGAATTGCGCCTCTACATTTGACTGAAAATTGGTCGAGTATTGAAAATCATAAGGCACATTTGAAATATTACCTGAAAGATTATTTAAAAAGGGAGCCAGATTGGCAACATGCATGAGCAAGGTTTGCTGCATGATTCAAGTAGGCGATGAATGAGATTGATGCCGATACAACAACAATGAATGAGATTGATATCGATACAACAACAACGAATGAGATTGATATCGATACAACAACAACGAATGAGATTGATGCCGATACAACAACAACGAATGAGATTGATGCCGATACAACAACAACGAATGAGATTGATGTCGATACAACAACAACGAATGAGATTGATGTCGATACAACAACAATGAATGAGATTGATATCGATACAACAACACGATAGTGTTCTGACAGCTTTCACACGCCTGACTCGCAATGCTAGTCATAGATTCACGCGTGTATTACAAGACATCGACCAGGCATCTTGGTCATCAAACTACGCAGCATCATTCTGCGATCCAACTAACTGTTTCCATGCCGGCTCCCGTCCACCTCGTCTGCCGGCGTGCTGCTCTCACTTCACTAGCACCTGCGCGTCGGCTGTTGCCGGATAAGTTCAAGGACGGTCAGCCAAGAGAGCTCGCTCAAGGGAAGTGCCGTCTCCTGTCCCCTCGCCCTCGTCACCCTCTCGTACTCCTGGATCAGGAAGTTCTCGCACTGATCGAAGATGAACTTAGCCTCCTCCACCCCCGGGTTGCTGTTGTGGATCCCCAGGGCTTCTGCCTCCTCCTCGATGGCGTGGACAAGGTACTTGATATCCGAGAGCCTCTTCCCGTCCGACTTGTTATGAAAGTCCTTACACCTCGCTTTCTTCAAGGGAACGTGTCCCGAATCTGCGCTGCCAAAGTGCCAGAGCATCCAAACCTCCGATGTTGTCAACCCCGTCAGTTTGTGCTCCGACCAGGGGGCGATCCTTGCGATGTTGCTTTCATACCCACCCTTTGATTGATAAGGGACCTTGCTCCCACATCTCCCAACTTTGCTGCCACCGCCAAAGGATGCTCCTCCTCCACCACCTCCACCTCCACCACCACCACCTGCCTGCGTGCATGCTGCATCCGGAGCTCTGCCCGACGAAGTGCCCAGCTGCGATCTTCTTTGATTTGGAGCAGCAGATTCGATCGCATGGCTGATGATTCTGAGATTGGCTGGCTGATTGGCCGGCTCCTTGGGTACCATCGTTGCCTCTGTCGACGACCCCTCGTGTACGTGGTTGTTCTGACTAGCCCCAGCAGCAACCTCTGATGACAGGCAGGACTGAAGCTCGTTGATGATTCCTTGCGCGATGCGTTGATTCATTTGTTCCATCGCCTTGAGAAGGGAGACATAAGGGGGCACGCCGGTGACCTGCCGGCCATTCCTTTCGATCGTGACATGCTGCTTCAGCTCATCGATCATTCCTGCGTGTGCGAAGAGCTGTGATTTGAAGACGGGATGGTTTCTTGGCAGCTCCTTTCGTAGGAAGTCTAAATGGTACACGAAAGACGCCAACACCATCTCCGCTGCACTGCGCGCCCGGGGCGAGTTTATGTCTTTGAAGAGCAGACGGAAGATTCCGTCGAGCTTCTTCCTACTCTCTTGATCGTTGGTATGAAACATGGGCGGAGGAATCGCAAAGTCCGGCTTGTCGAACGGCAGCCCTGCAACCAACCTACCAATATGCTGGTCACCGGCACGGTCGTACCTAGTCAAGTTGCACACTGTCAACACACCCTACAGCATCATCCCTGACCACGTGTTACCAGAGGCTCTCGTCCTTTCTTTGCCTTCCTTTGATCTTTCCTTCCGCCCTCACACGGATCGCTACTATCGGGGGCGGGGCAGTTGTTCCCGATGTGCAGTACGTCGCACTTCCTAAACGGATGCTCGCAACACCTTGCATGCTCAATCTCAGGCGTCGTACCGACGCACTCGTTCTCCTCAGGGCTCACACCTATCTCTCCGGTCAGCAGACCGTTCGACTCCATGGCCGCCTTGATGCCCTCATCTTCCAGCACCTGCGTGCAGAAGTGCTTCCTGAACCTCTGGCGCTGACTGCTGCCTGCAAACGCCTGTTGAGTTCCCTCGATTCCTCGTGCCGTCTCCTCACACCTGGAAAGAATTTCCCACGGGCTGCGAAATTATTCGGATGGTACGTCAGCCAGTATATCCCTGGGCACCAGCAATCATCGTTTCCCCGCAGTGAAATGCAAGGTCATTACCCACTGCCAGCACAGGGCACAACTCCGGTATCAAAGGGTTGGCATACACATGCTTCGGATCCCAGTCACGACCATCATCGCCATCATCATTCTGTGGGCGGATGACGTAGAACTGGAGGCAGTCATCCGTACAGCCCAAGTGGCTGTACAGGAGCTCCGCAGTGTCGCTATTTCTCGACATCAGGTTCCATTCCAGCAGCATGTACGCCCGCCCCTGCACGAACTCGCGCTCCGTCCTCCTCATCGTCACCTTGGAGATCTCTCTGAAGAGGGACAAGGGCATAGCCTCGACCCTCGTCCCCTTCCTCTTTCGCACTGCCGGCTCCTCCCCGCCTTCCACTCTTCCCTTCGGCGGCATGGTGCCCCGAAACGTTGAATGGCCGGAAGGAATTGTAACGGTTCCGTAACGATGATGAATTCGCTCATGCAGAGGAGCAGTAAGGGCAAGATGGGGGGAGGACGAGGAGGACAGAAGAGGAAGAGGAAGATGAAGAGAAGGACGAGGATGCCAGACACAGGCAGTAGGACGAGCAGGAGAAGGAGGACGAGCAGGAGCAGGAGCAGGAGCAGGAGCAGGAGCAGGAGCAGGAGCAGGAGCAGAAGGAGGAGGTCATGGGTTGAAGAGGGCATAGGTGCGATGACAGGGAAGGGGCAGCAGCGTCGAGGAAAGCATCGAGCCTCAGTGTTAAGATTTGATGTATCGAAGCGGGATGAAGAGATGGGCATATGTCTGAGAGAAGCATTGGACATAGTTGTGGGGGGAGGAAGACCTGGGCATAGAAGGAGTCTGCTTGCACACTGATGGAAGTAGAAACCGAGCTCTCTGTTGGAAGCTCAACTCATCTACAGGATCATGAGCGCCCGCCAGTCTCAGTGACCTTCGGCAAGAGGTCGAAGGAAGCAAGGACGAGGGAGCGATGCAGCGTCTCTTGAAAAACGGATTGACCCTGAAGTAAGCTCCTCCTCTACTCGATGCTCCTGACACCACCAGCAGACCCCAGCCATCTTCGCTAGCGCTTAGAAACCGTCGGTTCCTGGTGACCCGCACACCTTTGGTGAAAGGAGACGTGACACTTTCTCTGCAAAGAGCGTGGAGATCAAAGATGGTCCCAACGCGCGATCCCCTCGGCTGCCTCCGGTTCAAAAACCACCAGGTCCCCTCCTCCTACCTGCCCCATCGCTCTCGTCCTCGTTCCCTCGTCCTCCTCCTGTTCTTCCCTGGCCTTTCTTTCCATCAGTGACGGATTGTTTTGAAGAGGAGCAAGTGCAGCAGCAAGAGCCTGAGCAGCAGCAGCAGCAGCAGCAGCAACAGCAGCAGCAGCAGAGGAAGAGGAGGGGGCAAGGACGCACTCGTAGTGCCTTCGTCATGGCAGGGCTCGGCACCGCAGTGTTGGCAACGCCTGTTGTTGCCTTAACTCTCAAGGTAGATGAGAGTCTGAGCTGCTGGGAGGAGGGAGACGGAGACGGAGCGGGGAGGAGCGGGGGGAGAAGAGGAGCTGGAGGAGGAGAGGAGGAGCGGGAGGGAGAGAGGGAGAGGAAGTAACGATGCTCCTGCAGGCCAAAACTGACCCGGAAGGCTTCACTGAAGGTGTAAAGGCTGTTCTCCCTCCTCCTCTGGCCTCGAGCACCTTGACGGCAAGTGACAGCCCCTCCACCTCAGAGCTGTCTCTCCTGTCAGCTTTCATTCCCCTTCCTCTTCCTGCCCCTTCTATGATCTCTCCTCCTCCCGCCCCCTCCATGATCCCTCCTCCTCCTCCTCCTCCTCCTCCTCCTCCTGTCATCATCGCTCCTTTTCCGCCTCCTGTTTGATCCCTCTACTTTCTGTCTCTCCAACGCTTCCTCCCCTTGCTTCTGCCATCCTGTGAATGTCGATGAAGATCGTGAGGAAACATTTGTGATGACGAGGACGGCATTGCAGGCATTTGGGGTGTCCTCAAAGCCTCCTCCTCCGACGACGACGACGAAGCTCGTTGCTCCTGTGTCTGCTCCCCCTCCTCCCTCCGATGCCCTCCCCCTTCCTGCCTCTCTCAAGAAGGAATCAGATGGAGAGATGATAGGTGAGCAACTCTGTTTGCTGCCTTCCCGTCCTCCTAACCATGTTCGAAGAGCATGCAAGGAGAGCAGCGAAGGAGCAGCAGGAGAGGATTGAGGTGAAACAGTCTCCGCCTCCAGTCCCTCCTCTCATCTTCCCGGCAGTCGGCAGCAGCGGCCCTCATGGCGGAAGCAGCAGCACTGCAGGCAAGGAGGAGGAGGAGGAGGAGGAGGAGGAGGAGGAGGAGGAGGCGAGGGGACCGGCGATGTAACACCATATGTACCAGGAGAAAGAAGCAGAAAGGAAGAGGATGATTGAGAAGGAGCTACAAGTGAGCGGGAGGGAAGGAGGAGACAATTTTCATCAGACTGAAATCTTCTCCTTCTCCGCTCTCTATTCGTTTTCTCCTCCTCCTCCTCCTTCTCCTCCCCCTCCCCCTCGCTCTCCTCTTGCCTCCCTCCTCTCTTCGCTGCAGAACCAACTCGACAACCTCAACAGTGCCATGTGAACCGTCGAGGGAGATCGACTGCGAGCCGGCCTGACGACCCTGCAGGGTCGCCATCTCCGAGCGCAACAAGTTGATCAGAGAGCAGGTGGAGGTTGCGGACTTGAGAGCTCACAACTCACTCGCCGCAGCTCAACCAGGCGGAAGTGCAGCAGGAGAAGTCTCGAGTGATCTTCCAGGCATACAGTCGCCCCCTGCCCTTGAGCCTTCAGTTACTTCCAGCAGGAAACTCACCTCGGCGATGTTCTCCGCGAACAGATGGAGCAGATCGAGGTAGAGCCTGTTTTCCGCTCTCCTTCTCCTCCTCCTCCTCCTCCTCCTTCCTCCCATTGCCCTCTGCTACTGCTCTTCCTCCCTCCTCCTTTCTCCTTCCTCCCATTGCTCTCCACCACTTCCACCCCTCCCTTTGCTCTGCTCGTTCTGTTTCTCCAGCATGCGTGTTGTCACGATTTCTCCTTTCCGATGCAGGCTGGTCACACAGCAGCGAAGATCATTGATGAGGTACTTCTGACCATCTCAACCCAGACACCTACAAAGATCTCTCACCCTCCTGCTCTCCCGCTCCCTCTCTCTCTCTCTCTCCCTCGCCATCTCCCTCTCCCTCTCCCTCGCCATCTCCCTTTCCGTCTTCTCTGTTCTCGCCTTGTTTGCCTCCTCCTCCTCCTCCTCCTCCTCCTCCTCCTCCTCCTCCTCATCATCATCATCATCATCATCATCATCATCACTTTGCTTGTCGTCATTTTCGTTCTTTTCCCAGCTGCAAAAGCACCACGCGGATGTCTTGCAAGCCCAGGTGAGGCCCGAGGGTGAAAGTCCAGCTGACATACCAGCAGGAGATGGGCAACAAGATCGACGTGAGCTCGGAGAAGAGCCTGCAGCAGGGAGCCTCCATCGCCCAGGCGAGAGCTCGACTGAGAGACCTTCTCTTCGAGCTGGACAGCAGGTGGAGGAGGGAGGAGGGGAGGATTTAAAGGATCATGATGATGAGGAAGATGGGAAGGGCGAAGAAGGGGAATGATGTTGGATGTTTGTGTTTGTTTGTTTTGACGCAGCGTGAGGGTCGATGTTTGTTCGGCTACTTTGACATGTTGGATGACGAGCTGACAATCTGCTGAAGGACCAAGTTGGAGAGCATGAGGCTGCGAGAAGCGATGAAACAGACTGAAGAGACAGCTAAGGTTCCCATACAAGCTAGAAATCCTCCTCCTCCTCCTCTCCTGCTCTCTCCTTGTCATCTCCTCTTTTCCTGTCTTGCCCCTTGCCATTCTCTTCCTGGCTTCTCTTCCTCGTGCTATTGATCGTGCTCACTCGTGGTCACAACATCCTTGTCTTCCTCTTCCCCCTCCTTTTTTTAACTCGAACGTCCTCTACTCACACCTCCCTCCTCCTCCTGCTCTGCTTCTTTCTCACGCGTTCTGGTCGCAGCTCGAGGGGATGAAGGCGATGCAGGAGCAGCTGATTGCGCACGAGCGAGAGATCCAGCGGCTGATGGACGAGCAGGTATGCCTCCTCTTCCTCCTCATCCTCCTCCTCCTCCTCCTCCTCCTCCTCCTCCCTCTCGTCTCCTCCGTCCCCTCCCTCTCCTCCCCTCCCTTCCCGCTGATGTTGCCCTTCAGGTCTCTGCGGTCAATGGGGCATGCCAGGACGAGATCACGAGGAGAGGACAGCAGTTCGAGCAGGTTGACTCTTGTTCCTCCCCCTCCGCTTCATCGAATGTTCTCCCCCCTCCTGACCCTTCCTCTACTTTGTCGTCCCCTCCCCTCCCCTCCCCTCCCCTCCCCGCCGCTCCTCTCCTATCACCTCCCCTCCTTTTCTTGACTCCTCTCCTCTCCTCTCCTCTCCTATCCTGTCCTATCCTCCCCTCTCCTCTCCTCTCCTCTCCTCTCCTCTCCTCCCCCCCCCTCCGCCTTTCCTTCCTCACGTTCGGAGCAGAAGATGAAGGAGGAGTGGGATGCTGTCGCCATACGCGGAGATGAGCTTTCCTCCCTCCGTTCCAGGATGCGCGAGGTCATGGCACGTGCAGCAGAAGCTTCGACCTGACGCTCTTGCAGGTCCAGAAGCTGCTGAAGAGCGAGTATGCCATCGATGAGGTTTGACCCTATCCCATCCCCTCCTCCGTCTCCTCGTCTTCGATGTCGTCGTCGTCCTCCTCCTCCTCCCTCCTCCTTTCCCCCCAGGGTTTCCTTCTCCTCTTCGTTCTTCTTTTCCTCCTCCCAACTCGCTTCCCTCCTCATCGCTCCTCTTGCTCCTGCCCTCATCTCTTCTCAGCTTCGCAACGAGCTGGCAGCACGGTACAAGATCGCAGCCAACGCACGCATGGAGGTGAAGGTAGAAGCTGAGGTTTGAGGGATCTCAAGAGCAACGCAGGAGGCAGAAGATCTCATCCTGCGCCTTCAAGTCTTGGACAAGACGCTCGAGTGAGGATTGACGAGGAGCGGGGAGCATAGAGGAGGAAGTGGAAGGGGACGGGAGAAGAGGAGGAAGTGGAAGGGGACGGGAGAGGAGGAGGGCGGAACAAGAACGAGGAGGGAGAGCAGGGAGAGGACGAGGAACGGTTAGAGTGGGATGAAGAGGAGGGACTGACATGCTCGCTAAGGCAATCGAAGAATTCTTCCGACTGGTCCAGGAACATGCAGGTGCTTCATCTTGTGCTTGCTCACTCCTCCCCCCTTCCTCTCCTGACCTCCATGCTCGCTCCTCTCGCTCGCTCTTCTGACCTCGTTTCCAGAGCATCTTCCTTGCCGTCGAGAACGCTTCCAAGGTCTTTCCCTCCTCTCCCGCTCCTAGTCTCTTGTCCTTCTCTCGTCCTTCTTCCACTCAACCCAGTCTACCCTCCTCCTCCTCCTCCTCCTCCTCCTCCTCCTCCCCCTCCCCCCCCTCCTCCTCCTCCCCCTGAACTGCTGCAACTTCCAGGCGCTCAAGGAGGGAGAGTTCCATCAGGATCTCGCTGTCATCCAAGCTCTTGCAAACGTGGACCCGCTGGTGCAGGTGAGGGAGGAGGAAGGCGAAGAGGATGGGAGAAGAGGATGGGAGAGATCGATGGGGGTCAGCTGACGAGGAGGCAGACCGCGGTTAGGAGTATCCCTACGACTCTGCGAGATGTTCCCAGCCACGAGCGCCTGCAGCAAGGTCTTGAGGAGGCGATCGTGGCAGCTAGGAAGCAACTACTCGTTCCTGCCGGCTCTGGATTCGTTGGGGAGGCATGGGCGGCGGTAACGTCTCTCTCCTCTCCTCTCTTTCCTCCCGCTTATTCGCTTCCTCCTCTAAAGGCGGCAAGTCGCTTCCTCCGACCCTTCTCCGACGTAACTCTCCCCAACGGCGAGGGAGAGGAGGTCCGACTTCGCCGCGCTCGGGTTTTCCTCCGCAAGGTCTCCTCTCGTCTCGTCTCGTCTCCTTTCGTCTCGTCTCGTCTCGTCTCGTCTCGTCTCCTCCCACTTTCTCTTCCCCCTCTTCCTCCCCCTCCTCTCTCCCCTTCCTACCTCGTCCCATCTCCTCACCCTCACTTGCCGCGCCAGGGGGACCTGGAGGGAGCGGTCAAGGAGCTCGGCTACCTCTCCCCTAGCACCGCCAAGGTGATCACATGCGCTAGCGCATGGAGGAGGACTGACTGGCCTTAGCCCATGGAGAGCTGGATGCTCGACGCCAGGAAGGTTCTCGTGCTGCGTCAGGTGCGCGGAGAGGAGGCGTGGAGACTTGCTAAGATGGACTGACAGGCCCTGACCCTCATCCGCGCTCATGCGCTTTCCTCCTTGTCGGCGAGTGCGTGAGAAGCTGTTTCATCACCGTTTGATGTCATTGAATCCGAGAAAGAATAGAGGAGGAGGGTCAGAGAACGTAACGACGAAGAGCTCGATTGAATGCGACGGGGTTGTCGGCATAAATGTGATGCCCTGGTAGAGCGCATGAGACGAGGGGCGCGCGTCAAGTGTCTCACCTGACTGCGGGATAACCAGCACGAATATCTCGTTCTTCTTGTTGTTGGACAACTGAGTGCTCACGTCAGCACTGCGTACGCAGGTCGAGGAGGAAAGGGGGAGGGAGGAGGGAAAGTAGCAAGGAGGGAGGAGGGAGGAGGGAGGGAAGGGAGAGGGAGAGGGAAGGGAGAGTTGGACTTACTTCGAGACTCGCACTGGCATCGAGAATCGTGTTGTCTCCAAAAAGAATCGTCACCGGCACTCGAATTCCTGGTCCATAACCTTTGTCGCCCTGATCCCGAGTGAAGAGAGGACAACAAGCAGAGACAGAGGATGGGAGGAAACATATGGGGAAGGAGAGGGGAGAAGAGATGAGGGGAATTTAGAGGGCAGGGCAGGGCAGGGCAGGGCAGGGCAGGGCAGGGCAGGGCAGGGCAGGGCAGGGCAGGGCAGGGCAGGGCAGGGCAGGAGTTTCTTTCACCATGATCTGGGGTGCAAGAGGGCGAGTAGGGAACATCAACCGTCCTCCCAGGGAAAGAGCTTTGCATGCCAAGAAGGGCGACTGCTTCATGACGTCCTCCGCAGAGAAGGAGGTGGAGCACCTCCCCACCGCACAGATCTGCAAGTAGCTCCTCGACAGCTCCTTCAGCTTGTCCAGCTGCACCAGAGCTCAGATCCCAGCGCATGGCAGGCCCGGACGGCTCTCACCGTGATCGACCTCATCACCCGGATGTACTGCGGGTTCATCGCAGCACCGGATGTCGACTGCCAACATCTCACCTCCTCCCAACCTGACCCGCTCCCTTCACCTCATTATTCACAAAATACGACGGGAAAAGGCTCGGCATGCTCTTTTGCGGGAGCCGCACGTCCGCCTCGCTCGCCTTCGGCGCTCCCATCCCCCATGGCTGACCGCAATGATCAGTGTCTCCACAAGCTGAGATTGCAATCACCTCGACCAGAACGACTTTCTTCACACGGTCCGGCTGCTTACACGCCAGTCGAGCGGCAAGGTAGGCTCCGAGGCCATGACCTTGGAGGACTTCAGCTCTGGTCCATCCCTCAACAAGGGCCTACCGACTATTGCAAACGTTTCCAGCGGCTCCCCGTCTCCACACATCTCCTTGATCCACATCTCCACAGGCTCCAAGAAATAATTCTCGGCAGCCTTCGCCTGTTGACAGTCAGTCGAAGACGAGCTCGAACACGTGAGTTTACATCCCCATCCTCTCTGAAATCCGGCCGTGAAGAGAGTCCATGGCCTGGCAGGTCGATCGCAAAAACAGTGGCTGAGTTGCAAAGCTCTGGACCCACGTCAGATCATTGCCGTCCCATCACGAAAAGATTCACACCTGCCATCGAGTTGAGCCATACCCCCAACCCTGTGCCAAACCCGTGCAAGAACAAGACGGTTTGAGGGGAATTCCCAATCTATGGAATTTCACTCACGGAAAGCAGTCACGCATGGCGACATACCTTGCAGTAGTTGACGACAAAATCCTTTTCAGTGAGAATCTTCTTCTTGAGAGCAACCTTAACTTTGGGAAAGCATAATCTCAGCAGAAGCGGTTCCATCATTCTACAAGTGATGAATCGTCAACGCTGCAGAAAAGAGAGAGACCTTGGACCTTGTCTTTTGATCGTCGTTCCCTTCATGCCACAATTTCCACAGGCTCTCAGTGTCATGCTCTTCCAGCAGCGCATCTGCAGAGTTAGGCATAAGTCAGGCAAAGAGCAAAACAACTATGAAGTAATGCACCGTCATCGTCATCAACTTTTTCTTCAACATGGAGATCATGCATAGGCTCCAAGGCACCAGGCAGATCATTCATCGTATCGTTTCCTTCATAATATCCCTGTACGATCAACCTCCTTGTTCCAGAATCTTTTCTAACCTGAGACAAACATTACATCTGCTAGGAAATTGCAGTTGCACAGAACAACACCTGCACAAAGCCTCCACTTTTTGAAATCGTAGCAAATCTCTCCTTTCCTAGATCTACCGCACGTGGGAAATAACCAAATTTGCTCGCTTCAACCTTCAAAAATCCATCAGTTCAAGTTCCTACAATCACTGTAATGGATACCCTCCAATTGATGGATGAATCATACACCGCTCTGCTAATATTCGCCAGACCGCACCATTCGCCCACTTGACTGTCAGACCCATTCGCTTTGTCCTTGACAAACGAGTATAGGATTGCAAGCGCTCCGTCCAAAGTAGAGATGCAAGCAGCCTTTCATCAAATCAGCAGGCTCGTGGAAGGGAGCAGTCAAAAACAAACACGGCGGAGACTACCTGCTCCTTGTCCAACAGAGAATTGCTTGAAAATTGATATTTGCGCATTACTCTTCGATGTTGTTGATACATCATGTGAACCCGACCTGTTGAAGTCAAAAGAAACCATTACAGGCAAGCAAAAATCTACATGCTCCAGCCAAAAAACGAGTTCTGCCCTTACTCTGAAACAAACAGAGTCAAAGCACGACAATCAGCTGTTCGGAATCTACCGTGATATAGATATGAGCTAAAATCGAGTTGGTGGCAAATTTCAAATTCTCAGATTCTTGTACGGTCAAGATTGATCTAACAAAAGCTCATCAGTTTCTTCCCCAAGCGCAGCCAAAGCAGTTTCCAACGTTTCATTTTCTGCTTGGGGTGCAATCCCCTCCTGACTGCCGGCGGTTTGCAAAACGAATGCTATTCGAAATGACATTTCAGTTTGGGTCTTGAAACTTAGGCAGCAAAGTTACAGGCGATTGCGTTGCACATTCTCATCAACACTGTTAAGTCTAATACACAGTCAGCAGGAGAATGAGCATGACATGCCGATTACTTTCATCCGACAGAATGTCAAACTGACTCAACTGCATACGATTACTCTTGGCACCCCGAAACAAGAATAGATCCAACCTGACTTTGTATCCAGTTGTAAAGCCAAACACTCTCAGACTGCTCGGTTTCTTCTTTGACGTCGGGAAACAAGTCCTGAAGCGTATTTCATGATGCGTGCGAAAGTCCGACAATTGCATATACACGAAGCGTTAGGCCATCCCTAAAGGGTTCAAAAAGCCTGCGAAGACGCTTTTCTTGAATCAAAGCCCTGCCACAATATGAGACGGGTGACAACACTTGGAGATTGAATATACCATGGAATGATCACGTATTCCAGATCAAGGGCATCCTATTGCTCAGTCAGATCCAACCTCTTATGCATCCAAAATTGACCGCTTCAATCTCATCAAATGGCCGCAAGTGACCATCATTGTGCCTCCAATGCCACTATAGGATAAAGTTGAGCAACCGAGATGGATGACAGCAACCGACTCACCCTTGCACGCAGAGCAGTGTTGCCATTTTGATCTGCAGAGAGATTCTCATAAGCTGGAATGTGGTTCCAATCTCATTAAAAACCTTTGCATTTCTTTATGTTTATCCAAGACATTCCATCACGAGCGACGACCTGTAGACAGATGAGAGTTGGTTGAGAAAATGGAAGCAGCCGTGAGATACCTCAGTGGGATTGCCACTTTTCCAGGCTTTTTCAATCTCCCTGCTGTCCTCAAAGCTGAACGCTTGCCATGTTCCCATCCCAATGTCCCGCCACCACCATCGAACTTTTTGCATCTGATCAGCCTCCTCTCTCGGGGTCGGAAACCCAGATGAGTTGTTCGAGGTGTTGTTTTCTTCAACTTTCTCTTCGTCGTTGATCAGGAAGCAGCTCAGCTCGGTGCTTGCCCAACAGGCATCGATCAATGGCTTCACTTCGCGCCGGGGAAGGTGGCCAGGCTCATATGCTGGGGTAACCCAACGCACTGATTTGCTCTGCAAGTTGACCTGGATAGCATCAACAAAGTTATCGGAGCTCAATGGGATGAATCGTACGCAGGTACCTGTGCAAAGTCTCCTGGAAGGGCACGGAAGACCACGTGCGAATCATTCAGTTTCACGCAAGAATGCGTAGTATGCGATGCATCTGAAGCGACATCACGACCTTCGATTCGCGGAAAACGAAATCTTGCCTGCTGGAAATCCGACTTCAAGCTTGTATGCTTCAATCTCAGTGAAAGGACAAAGAGATCCATCGGATCGTTGGAAAAACCAGCTAAGGTACAGAATCAGTCTCATGAGAGGAGGTGCTATGGACTTCGGTCACCAACCTTCCACGCAAGATGTCCCTCTTTGAACCTAAACAAGCTATCAATCTCGAAACAGTTGTCCCTTCAACATTCTGTTTACCAGCTTCATGGTTGTATTGCACTCTTTCGTCAACGTACGCTGGATAGACACCTCTTCCAAAATCTAAAATTTCAACGAACGATGAGTGATCTGCAATCTGCCGTCCCACTCCCACACACCAACAAGGGACTCTCTGTTCATAAACGCTTCCTCCAAAGCAACGTTTTCTGTCTCGCCGAAGGGCTCCCACCTGATTTTGGAGCTGTAAGTTCCAACCTTGCTTAAGAGCAAGGACCTGTCTCCTCGTTTGTAGAACCATTGGATAGCAGCAGTTGTAGGGGTGAGCATGCTTATCGGGGCCAGAATGAGGGCAGTCTTCCAAGTTACTTGGACGCAGAATAGTGCATAGATTGCAGCATGCTTAGCCGCTCAGCGAATCCATCCTGTCCGACTGTCACAGATAGGAAATCACACAAAGTTGAACTCAGTTAAGAAATCAAACAAGAAGGAAAAATCAAGAAACGTTCGATATTTCTCTTTTCTCTTTGCGTGCAGGAAACGTTCAAGTCTACAGTCCTTTTCATAAAAACAACATAACCTTCAACCTGGAAAAAACTAGTGTTTCGCAGTTCAACAAATCTGTAGTTCATGGGACGGAACAATTCTCATTTCCCGACATTACAGTAGTTTTGACCACTACAAAACCAATCACAAAAGATATTAATGTGCATGCATGCTCTACATCATAAACATAATTTGCTCGTATTTCTAAAACTCATAATTGCCTCTCTCCTTCAGGATGCATTGGTCGCTGTGGAGCCCATCTTGACTCTTCCTCACAATAGACCTTATCATACACCTCTGCCTCTTTCAATCTATACGTCTGATGACTGACATATCATGATGCATGTCTTTCATAAACCCTGACATCGCTTCTTTCCAGCTTCGCCCTGCCATCGCACTCCGCTCTCTCGCTCTGCATTCTTTCGTAATTGAATTGCAAGAGTTCGACCCAAGGGGGTGGGGTGGTTTTTGGACAGCAGGTGGGGACTTACTGGTACTAAGCAATGGTAAAAGAGGGGTCCTCAATAAGGCAAAACTTCTTTTCCTGCATTGGGGTGGGTCAAGAATTTTTGGTTGAAATGGAGGTAGGGTAGTACAAGTACCCCCCACGTTATCAATAAAATTGTTTCTCCAAGAGGGGGTAGGGGATATCGAGGGTGGAGGTTACACCTGATGCGGGCCCGGAGGGATCCAATGGGACGCTATGGACCAAAAAACAGGGTTTTAGCTGTTGGATGACCCCACCATACATCAAATAGATAGGAGACAGGGTCGTCATCAAATCGTTTTTTAATTTATTTGGTAAAAGGGTTAAAAACATATTTAAATGTCTAAAAAGTATATTGAACATGCCTGGATACGGAAAAAAAAGGTTTTACGAAATAAATATTTGTTTTAATAAAGACTCTTCTGACGGTATATCTTCTGTCTCTATAATCTGTGTGCTGTAAAACTCTCATTGGGGTGGGTAGGGGTACATCACATCCATGTACCCCTAGTCTGTGGGTATCGCAGGGACGGAAGGGGTAGGGGCTGTGAATGAATGGGTACTTTGTGGATGGGGGTGGGTTGCTGACAACAACGCTGTTTCCCTCCGATCTCGAGATATATGGTCCACGGAAAAGACTGGAGATTACGGCTAGACAAAGGGTGGGTTGTCGGATTTTTGCTTGGGGGTAGTGGGGTAGGAGGGGTCCTTTTTTTTAGTTCATCATTGCAGGGAATTCGTTGTTTAAATATTGTTGCAGCCGTTGGAAGAGTCAATATCTTTGATTGCAGACGTTACATGACGGTTTTCAATGAAGCAGTTTTTGTCGGTTACGGCCTGCAAGAAGACAATGCCAAGTTGACTCTTCGGCATTCCAAGGATGCTGCTGCGGCTATCATTACGATGAGCCGTGTATGGGAGGATGAGGGAAGCAATGGCGGAAAGAGGAAGGAGGAGGGGAGGGGGTCACGGGATAGCACTAGAAAATGAAGGTGTGCACTATTTTCAACAGGGATTTTCATTCTTAGTGTGTAGGAGAAAGGAAATTGAGGTTATCATTTTGGCTTGATGCAATTGAATTTCTTGCGCTTCTTGGAAATTAATGCTGTTTGCTACAGGATGGGGTCCTCTTGGCCATTTCAGACAGACCCAATGCACGCTGTTCATCCCAAACTTGGGAAATCGGTAAATTTGATGCCATTTTGTGATGGTTTGTAAGCATCTCTTGTTTTTTAGACCTTGAATAAGATCATCTACGGTCACTCATTAGATATCGGGACAGGAGCTGGAAGGTAATTGATTTCACAATGTCTCTTTGCACAATGCGATCTCTCTTTGCGGTTTTTGTTTTCTTGGAATATCCTTGGCATTGACTTATTTATCCTGATCTGTGGTGTATGACTGTCGTCACTCTCTCATAACAGGTACAGAGGAAGTCTCGTGGAATCTCTTGCTTTCGGCAATTCCAACAATCATGGGCGTGAATTTCGTCATTATGCCTCCCACCAGAACGATATGTCAGGCGGACTGCTTGCTTGAGTATCTCAGACTAGTAAAGTCAAATACAGAGGTCTGGACATACACTGATTGAGAACAGGGCCAAAATGCCAATATCTTTAGATGAAGTCGATGAACAGTAGAACACTGAAGTGGGTGTAAATGCATGATAGCCTCAAGACGGTACATCATGCCCGAGTTCCGAACTAAAGTTCGCGGAAGCCGCCGGGAAATGCAGTGCCAGGGGACTCCTGTGTACAGGATCATCCGATCGGCCGCGATCACGGCTGGGCAGGCCAGTGCCGCCATGCCACAGACTGACTCGCACACAGCGGTCGGAGGGGCTCCCTCGTGGCCGCCCCGGCGGGCCGGGGGCCTCGCGGCCAGCGTGAGCTCACAGTGGACGCATGCGTGGACCACACACTGAGTGACAGATTCCTAACCCTTGAACTTGTTCCGACGTGACGGTGACTCACGTCGTGATGACGGCCCAGTGACTCAGTGTCTGAGGTTCAGTACGGCCCCGGGCCGGGTCCGCGGCCGCGGCGTTGCTGCCCGGCCCGACTCGGAGGCCCCCAGCCTGATCGGACCGTCGGACCGTACCTGCCGGGCTCACTGGCTCCGACACTGGCAGCCTAGTCACGTCACGGTTCAATGGTTCAACAACTTGACTTGAAGTTAGACTCAGTACTACGGAGTCGCGGGGTGACTCGGATCGGCGGCGGACGGGCCCGGCCCTCGCGGGCCCGGCCGGGCGGCGGCCCGTGACTCCCGGAGCCGAACACCGACCGGTCACTAATCGGCGACGGGCCGCGCCGCGGCGCACCGTCTGCTGACTCAGGACTGATCCTAAGACCCGACTCAAACTTAACTTCGGGGCGCTGAGTTGCAAAAGTGAACGGCATAAGTTGATACTGGTTTTAAGACTACCCACCCCTCAAACACACTAGCACTGAGCACCAACTGGTAGTAATCCGATGCTCGGGGAAGGGGGAAGCCACGGTGGGTAGGCCCTGAGAGTACTGCATTTCACACCACTGGCCAGCTGCATCAAGCTTACCCCAAATTTTTACCCGAATATGTGAAATTATCAATTATTTTTAGTGTTTTCTTGAAATTTTAATCGGCATATATTTGAAGACAGCCAAACCGAAGAAAGGCAGCACATCACATAATGCGGTGGGTGCAGGCATGTATGTTGGTGTTGCTGTATGATTATGGGATGGAGTGCGATACCTCCATCTCACAGGCTTGCAGCTCTGAGTCTTCTTGTCAGTCTTGCGTTGATCCGAACTCCTATCAAGTTTCTTGTCAGTCCCTCAACCCAGGACATTTCACGGGCTGTGACTGCAACTCCAACTATTACTGGGATTCTTCAAGCCATTCTTGCCTGAAATGCGCTACTTGTTCTAGTGGGAAGTACAAGACTGGAGGATGTATCAGTACGAGTGATACGGTATGCTCAACATGCTCGACCTGTCCCAGCGGGAAGTACAGGAGCGGGGGATGCAGCAACACGAGCGACTCGGTATGCTCGACATGCTCGATCTGTCCTAGTGGGTATTACAAGACTGGGGGATGCAGCGGTACGCATGATACGGTATGCTCGGTATGCTCATCCTGCCCTAGTGGGCATTACAAGACTGGGGGATGTAGCGGTACAAGTGACTCGGTATGCTCGCCATGTACCTGCCCAGACAACGAATACTTGAGCATAGGATGCTCTTTGTCATGGACGTACAGTCGAACCTTGCTCCAAGACACTGGTTCTGTCTTGTCACAGTGGGAGGAAAGGCTGTATTACAACAAGCAGAACCAGCTGCTCTTTGTCATGTATTACTTCTTCATCAATGCAGATTGGTCCTCATCTGGGGGGATCGACTATTCCACATACTATGATGACAACAGTTCCTTGGCAGCCTACATATCAACGAACTCAACTGCAATCTATACAGATCAAATTTTGCGGTATGAAAAAGGCAACACTATGGGAACCGGGTTTTATTGGAATTCCGGTCCCACATACAATGTTGTTGGCCATGCATACAGCATCAATGTATACATAGCAACTTGGAGCAACCCGGTATGCTCAAACTGCTCGACATGCCCGAGCGGCAAGCACGCCAGCAGCACCTGCAGCAGCAACAGCGGTATAGTATGCTCAAACTGCTCGACATGCCCGAGCGGCCAGTACATCAGCAGCGCCTGCAGCAGCAACAGCGATACAGTATGCTCAAACTGCTCGACATGCCCGAGCGGCCAGTACATCAGCAGCACCTGCAGCAGCAACAGCGATACAGTATGCTCAAACTGCTCGACATGCTCGAGCGACAAGTACATCAGCAGCGCCTGCAGCAGCAACAGCGATACAGTATGCACAAACTGCTCGACATGCTCGAGCGGCCAGTACATCAGCAGCGCCTGCAGCAGCAACAGCGATACAGTATGCTCAGACTGCTCGACATGCTCGAGCGGCCAGTACATCAGCAGCGCCTGCAGCAGCAACAGCGATACAGTATGCTCAAACTGCTCGACATGCCCGAGCGGCCAGTACGCCAGCAGCGCCTGCAGCAGCAACAGCGATACAGTATGCTCAAACTGCTCGACGTGCCCGAGCGGCCAGTACGCCAGCAGCACCTGCAGCAGCAACAGCGATACAGTATGCACAAACTGCTCGACGTGCTCCGCTGGAACGTTGGAGTCAGTAGCGTGTACGAACATGAGCGATACGGTTTGTGTGAAAGGAGATTTCAATGTGACAATCTTTCCATCAATTACTCCTACCTTTGAAACATCTACACAACAGATTCAATTCAAGTTCAATTACATCGGCTCTGAGAATAATTCGATCTACACAGTTACGTTTTGGCAGAGTACGGAAGTTGATATTCTCATAGTTGCTGGTGGTGGAGGTGGTGGGGGAACATACACGGGAGTTGAAGGAGGAGGTGGTGGTGGGGCCGGTGGGTTTGGAATGGGCAAAATCCTTCTTGAAGCTGGTGTGAACTACACGTTTTACGTGGGCAAGGGTGGACCAAGCTCACAGGACGGACAGGACAGCGGGATAAGCGGAGGTAAAGTCACCGAAATCGCATATGGAGGGGGGAGGGGTGGATATTGCAGCAGTCAAATAGGAGCAGATGGTGGGTCAGGAGGAGGTGGGAATGGCTGTTATGGTGCGAATGTAGGTGGGACAGCAACCAAGGGCGTATCAGGCTCAAAGACATCTGCTTCTGTCATATACTATGGTAGCAACGGTGGTTCTGGAGAGAAATCGAGTGGAGGAGGTGGCGGTGGCGGTGCAAGTACGGTCGGTGGCGTTGGAAATATCACAGGTGGAGATGGGGGGGCTGGAATGGAGTGGTTGGATGGCAACTTTTATGCAGGAGGAGGAGGAGGAGGAGGAGGAGGTGGTGGTGGTGGTCGTACCCCTGGTGCCTGCGGACCAGCAGGAAGCGGGGGGATTGGAGGAGGAGGATCAGGTGACAGTGGAGATGGAATCGCTGGTACAGGAGGAGGAGGAGGTGGGATGGTCTGCCAGTCGAGCAGCTCAGGTGGCTCAGGTGGCTCAGGGATCATAATCATGAGATTTCAGTATCATGTTGCCGCGGGCTATACCACACAACCATCATCACCAACAGTCTAACTTGTACTCTCAGTCTCACTTGTTACTAGTTAGGCATGCGTGTTTGCTTCTCTTTGCGGCTAAATATTGTTACATTCCCCTCAACACGTTCCGAAGTTCAAAATGAAAGTATGGTCAACCAAATTTCAAGTTTGAGAAAACATGTAGAATTCACCGTGTTCCAGGAAATCTGACTGAGGCCCAACGGCCGGCCCGGCCGCCGCCGCCGCGGCCCGCACTCAGACGATCATGCCAGGGCGGCCGCAGTACTAGGGCCAGGGGAGTTTGATCGGATCGGCCGGGCCGCCGCCGGGGCCCGGCAGTGACTCTCAGTGATCCGGTGACCCGGCCCGGCCGGGCCGGCGATCGTGGGCTTTGGGCACTCGCACCATGATCGTCCGGGCCGAAAGAGACCTCTTGTTTTGATAGGATCCATGGCAGGGGATGTAAAGGAGGCACTGCTGAGGTACGAGGAAGAGGGTTGCATGTGTTGGATGGGGTTGTGCGAGCCCTCAAGGCAGGAGCAGGGCATCCTTGTCTGACTTGCGGCTGGACGCTGCTGCAGGCAAGAAGACGATCCGCAAGAAGTCCGGGGGGGTCACACTTGCGATGCCAGTGCTAATGTCAGCGAGGACGGAAGGTGAAGTTACGTGCTCTGAAAGGGCTCCTCCTCCTCAGCATGCTTCAGATTGTTGCATTCGCGCAGCACTTGGACACTTGTTCTCTCAACCATCCGGAAATCTCCATCAAGCACCTTCTACTTCTGTGTGATCACAAGCGTGTGCCTGGCCAAGGTAACGCGATCGCTTCCTCTTGATGGCAGTGATGGTGGTTTGTAGGTGGCTCTGGTTGCTTCGACGGCGGGCTCCATCCTCGGGGCGTTCTACAAGGTTGTCTCTGTGCGTATCGCCATGGTCAGAGGATATTCACGCACCCCACAGACTTTGCTGGCCAAGGACCTGGCAGCATTCGCAACGAATTGTGTGAAAGCGTTGGTCTGCTACAGTATAACAGTCCTACTGGACTCGACTGCAAAGTTTCTCGCAGGCATCACATTCACACCTTGTTTGCCTGCCAGAGGAATCTGACATGAGATCGATAGAGATCCTTGCTGCAAGGTGGAGATTGGAATTGACAAGTCAATTGCAACGGATGTACTTTGATGGGAGGAAGCGAATCCTCTCCAAGCTTGTTGACTGCTCAAGGAAACACTCGCTGGGTTTGCCTGATGGTCTTGTCGAGAAGTTGGACAACATCGACCAGAGGTTGGTCAACGATGCCAAACTCCTCTGCGACACCATTTCTCGCATCGTCCTCCAGGTTTGCTGTTGCATGTGTTTGAGGTCCGGCATTTAATGCACACTTTATAGATCATCACAGCTCCTGTCTCCATCGCTGTCTACGTGATCCTCTCGCTCAGGTTGATCAAGATACATGGAAATGATGATGTAAAGATTCTTGGATCGTAGTCGATGAGAAGCAGGAGAGTGGTCACGTATGAAAGTTCATGATCCGTGTACTCTGTCAGGGCTGTTGGCTGGGTGGCGCCGGTTGCGATCTCTGGTTTCTTCCTTAGCGGCTTGTTGATCAACCACCTGCTGGCGCGTTCGGTTGAGAAGAGAGTCGCACAACACCAGAGGTAAGGAGATTGGCGGTGAACGGCAAGAAGGGAAGAGAGAGGGAGAAACGGTAGTGAGAGGCGAGGAAATGCAGGAAGGAAGGAGAGGAGAGAGGAGAGGAGAGGAGAGGAGAGGAGAGGAGAGGAGAGGGGAGAGGAGGGGAGAGGAGGGGAGGATGGAGGATGGGGAAGGAGTGTAGCAGTAACGAGGAGAGAGGGGAGGAGGATGGAGCGAATTACAGGGGAGAGTCAGGGGAGAAACAAGGAGGACAGGAGAGCAGAGTGAGGTACTAGTAGCGAAGAATGATGAGCATCTAAAGCAAGAGTTGTGATGGCGGTCTGATATGTTTCCATTAAGGTTGGAAGGAGATTTCCGTTTGACTCACAAGTGGACTGTGGATATGGTGTGATCCTTTCCCTTTCCCTTTCCTTTGCTTTTCTTTCCTCATTTCCTTCCTCTTCCTCTTCCTCTTCCTCTTCCTCTTCCTCTTCCTCTTCCTCTTCCTCTTCCTCTTCCTCTTCCTCTTCCTCTTCCTCTTCCTCTCCCCTTCATGCCTCCTCCCCCACCTCTTGTTCGCTTCTCCGTTCCTTGTTGGTCGAGGCTCAGGATCGCGTTCAGGCGCAAGAGATCAGCATGTCGAAGGGCGTTGACTTCCTGAGAGAAATCACTCACAACAATCTCGTGGATGTCTACAATGTGCAGCTGAAAGTTGCGTCAAGACACTGGTGAGAAGAGTGATGCGAGAGCGTAGCAGATGGAAAAGAAAACAAGTGGGAGGAGGAGGAGGAGGAGGAGGTCGAGGATGAGGAGGAGGAGGAGGAGGAGGAGGAGGAGGAGGAGGAGGAGGTGGTGGTGGTGGTGGTGGTGGTGGATGCTTTAAGAGGAGAGGTTGAGAGGAACAGGAATAGCACTTGGAGTTTGCGGGGATGCGGCTGAGTGGTGATTGCTGTTGTATTCTCAGGTTTTTGAACATGTCGTCGAACATGTTCATGTACTTTGGGAGGTGAAGCAGGTTCTGTTTCATGTCAGGATGCAACTGACGTGCCGGTGCAGCATCGTCAACTACCTGATCATTGCCATTGCTGTGTTTGCAAGCTCAGCATTCTGGACCTTCGGGAGTGTGAGCGGGATTCAGGTCGAGGAGGAGGAGGATGGAGGGGAGGGGAGAGAGGGTAGAAGAACGAGGACGAGAAAGAGGACGCAGCAGGTGCAGGAGAACATGAAGGATGGTGTGGGGGGAGAGGGAGGGGGGTGATTGGAGGAGGATGGTGATATTCCTGTAAGACTCATTGACTCTGACATGTCAGAGCGACGACAGTTCGACGTTCGCCTCCAACATCAGCCAGGCATCCTTCAACACGCTGGCGCTGTGCGAGGTCTGCCGATGCTCGTCAGTGCCGGCAAAGCCGTTGACCCGCTACAACAGGGCTTTTCGCTCATGATCCAGGCGTCGGTCGACATCGGAGACGCCAGGGGATACGCGAAGTAGGGAGGAAGGGCTTTCAACCAGCTTCTCACTCCCCCCGTTTCCTCCAGGCGCATCCTTGACCTGCTGCACGCCATCCAGCTCTTGCCGAACGATGTGGTGGAGGTGGTAGAGGAGGGAGCGCGTGCTGACAGGTATGAGACGTGGGCACGCGCAGCGATGACGGCCATGCAGGGAAAGTTCCTGCTGCTTCCTCCTTGAGAACGTCTGCCTGTACATCGGTGAGATGAGGAGGAATACGAATCGAGAGAGCAAGTGGAAAGGAGGGGAAGATGGGAGGAAGTCAAGGAACGGAGGGAGGAAGGGAGGGAGGAAAGGGAGGGAGGGGAGGAAGGGAGGGAGGAAGGAAGGAGGGA